CCAGAATACATCATACCCTATTTCGATCTGTCACCTTGAATCTGACTTGGCATGCCGATCCCGAACATATGCGAAACCGCGAAAAATTCATGCACAGTATTCACTAGCAATTATGTGGATCTCACTGGATACTTTTTCCCGTTCTACTCCATAATCCGTACAAGTCTATACACAAGGCCTTACATTACAAAACTGAGCCACAAAAGAAGCTAAAAGAAGTGAAAAGAAGTGAAAATTCAATCCACTTCAAACACTAACATCTCCCCCACTCACTAGCCACTATTCTTAGCCTATGGGGGAGCGGTTTCACTCTCCCCGAGATGACGCGAAAACTCCACTCATTGAGGCGGTGCTACGATACCTTTTTTTTTTTCACCATGACGTTGGGTCACACGACAGGATATGTCTATCCACAATTAATTTATGGTTGTCAAGCCGGGCGCTCCGAAACGTATCCTTTTACATCCCGCTTGTACATCGTGCATAGGGTAAAAAGCCACTGCAGAAACCCGGGTGGGATTGGTCTGAGCGCTCAGAACACGCGGGACGTGTGGTACGAAGATTCCTGGCGATCTGGTAAACTTAGGCCTTGGGATCCACGATCATCACCTGGGTATACATAATAGGCAAGTGCACGCCAGTGTCGGGTTTTTGGTTGTGATTAGGTTCTCTAGTGGGCGACCTCGGGATCCGCTGTGCAGATGCAGATGCACCCGGTAGACTGGCTTATGTATACAGGCACCGCTTAACCCTATGATTGAGACTGTGGCGTCGAGGTACGGAGTACATCTACTGTGCGTAGGCGGTTTGTGGGGGATCTTCAGGCTGAGCTCGGTCCGCTGCTTATGTCTGGAGATGTATACCCGGGCAGTGCAGGCATTGCCTATGCTACTCGGGCTTATGATAAGAGTGTTTCATATTGAGCCGGATTAACGGTATTCGAGGCGTATGGAATAGACTTCTATCTTTTGGTTAGCGTTATTCCTTGTTTCGGGTCGGGGTTCCCGATTTGGTATCTCGAACTCGTATGCGATATTTACGTACTCCGTACTCGTCGCGAAATACCATTCACCGGGACGAGAGATAATCATGCCTAGAATATGTATGTACGTCCAATGACAGGGTCATATTCTCGAAGGACTTCCATGCAATGTCGAGTCCTGCGAGCCTTACCAGCACGCACGTCAAAATCGACCGGGATATATTATGAAACATCACCCCAGACCAGGGAGTGACCATGTAGACATACATAAATGGCGCAAATTCTCCGTCCGTCGAAAACATGGTTCCCGATCTGTCCTAATAAACACGAGACCTTCTATTTGGTCGTGGTCTGCGATCAGACTACCTGATTCTTGGGGTTAATGTTGTGTAACAAGTAGCCAAGACGAGATGAGATAGTCATAGTAAGATGAGGACCTATTAACAATTTGAAAATGGCTATTAACGAATGAATTTCTATTTTCGCCTCGATATATATTTTCGGATGCGAAGGAGTAACCTCCAAACCCTATCTCAACACCACTGATATATAATATACTACTATGTAGACATGCATACGAACATCTGCACAACCGCATGAAACATAGGGAATATAATAGGAAAAAGGTCCCACGCTGAAACACGACTGTGATACAGAAACCTATTTCACGCTTCCGCGGTAAGACGTAAACCATATCCAAAGTCAAAGACGAAAACATCATACCAAAAAGTCCTGTTTTAAAAATAGCAAGAACAGTCCTGGACTAAACCAAGCGTCCATTCCCAGGAATAGAAGCTTCCCCAAGTCCCTAGATATTAGCCGAACCCACGAGCACTGCACACCCAATATAAACCGGTTGCGCAGAACCGCGTGCTTGCACCACCTCTATATAAAATATGCAAGATCAGTTCCCGATCTCTACGGAAATGGAATCGGTACTTATTGTATGGACTAGAAGGTTGTACTGAATACCGGACGAATATATACAGGCGAAAGTAACCAAATTCACTCAATAGAAGGGAAGTAAAGCAATATCCATATCAAGCTACAGCCCCATTCTATAACCCGCCTCAGTACATAAACTCCATACCAAATCCCAAATTCCACGTGTAACAGAACAGCATGAACAAACCAACCGCTCGTCTATTTCTTCTTAATCGGTTCATCCTGTACAACATATCTGCATGTGTACACGTGAGCCCCCTCCCAGCCCGGTTTGAATTGTATTTCAGGGATGGTTGGATGGGCTGGTTTGCGAGGATTGTATTGTATACTGAATACGTGTAGAAAATGCTGTTTTTTGGATTTGCTTATATTAAAAACTAAATGTACTATGAAGTACATTGATATACAGGTACGGTTAATGCCTGCAATATGCATACAGTAGAGTGTACATAGTACCTACATGTACAGATATCCTTTACATACTACATACTGCATTACGGAGTACGCCGTACGTGCATACTGCAAGCCGGACCCGAAGATCGAGGTCGGACGGGGTCGAGGGTTAGTTCTAATGTTGCACGGGGTTTGGCTTGGTTTGGTTGTGGAGGGCTGGGTGGGTTGGGAAGGGAGGTCTGTGGTGTTTTGGTTTGGGTTAGGTATAATGGGATTGGAATGATTGGTATAGAGAAGATGAGGGGAGAGATTGGAGTTGAGTTTTGATTTCGATTTGGGCTGGGAGAGGGGTTTGGTGCCTGATTGGGATTGGGTATGGAGTAAATATGCACAAGGGTGTTTGTGGCTGGCGTAAATTATTTGGATTACTGATTCACATGAAATTCCAATGGTATTGGGTATCGAAGATAGACTAAGTATATACAGACGAGCGACTAGCTCGGTGAAGTTCAAAAGTCAAAATGCAATCATTGAATCACAGTCTGGTTTTTGTCGGCGTCGCAAGCATGAGGGTGCTGCAGACAATACTTGGGCACCAGAGCTGTGGCTCCCACACCATTGGCAACGAGGTATTCACGGAAGTTCAGAATACGCTGAGTGAGGAGGTTGGTACGCTTTCTGCCCGCAGCATCACGGTTACCAGACCAGACAAGCTCACCCAGGGCAGCAGCGCGAGGCCAGATCGCGCTGGAGATGGTCATATCGTCGATCTGCTCGCTCCACAAGGGAGCCTCGGCGCCGATAACGTGCTTCGCTTCGGTGGCAGTGAGGTTAGTGAGGAAGTCATAGTTGTAGATGCGCTGCCAGGTCTTGTACGGGGCGCACCAGGAGCCGCCGTCGCCGCCGTAGTTGAAGTTTACACCGCCCTTGGTGTTGGACTGCTCGTTGTAGCGGACGTCGTTGTTGATAGAGCCACCGTGGCCGCAGTCGAGGTAGAGGAAATCAGAAGAAGAAACGACGACGTCGTAGCCGGCCGAGGTGAGCTTCTTAATGTTACCCGCTCCGCTGTTCCAGCTTTGCATGATGACATCTTTAGGCACTTTGTGGGCGCTCTCCTTCGCGATGACCATGTCCTCCCACATCATGAGACGACGGTGATCGCCGACACTGCGGAAGATGGGCATGGACTTGTCAACCCAGTACTGAGCAAGATCATTGTAAGTGCGCGAGGGATCCTCGGCAAACCACTTATTGACATGGGTGCTGAAGTTATAGCAGTTGGTCTGGATCTCGTCGCCACCAACATGGAAGACATTGTCGCCAAAGATCTTAGACAATTCTTGGTAGACGTTGTTGACAACTTCGTAGGTCTTGGGGTAGATGATATCGAGCTGACCAGGGTTGGGCTGGAGCGCAGTGTGCTCCGGCCACACCTCGTTCGACCACCAGGAGTTGGCACACGACACGATCTCCGGGTCAACCTGCTGCCAGCCCGAGGCAGAGTGGCCGGGCATGTCGACCTCGGGGATGACGCGGACACCTCGTGCGCGGGCGTAGGCTTGCACGCGGCGCATGTCGTGCTCAGTGTAGATTTCGCGAGGGGAGTAGGCATCCTTGGTCATCTCGGGATAGGAGCTCATCTGCATGGGCCATGACTGTGCGTCGTCCAAGTGCCAGTGGAGGACGTTGAGCTTGGACAGAGCCATACCGTCGATCTGCTCGAAGATCTTGCGAACAGTGAGGAAGTTGCGACCACTGTCAATCATGATACCACGGTGAGGGTAAAGCGGGGCGTCCTTGATCTTGACAGGGTGTTCGATGATCAAACCGTCCTTGCCATCGGAGATGATAACCTGCTGCAGAGTGGTGAAGGCGTGCAACACACCCCAGACGGTCTGGGCACTGATCCTAATACCACCACTGGCAACCACCAGTGTATAGGATTCATCCACACCATGTTGGAGTTCGGCATCTTTGTCCACCACATGGACCTCGATGTTGTGGATGGCGGATGGGGCGCGCTTGGCGTTGGCGGCAGGCGTCGAGGTGGGGAAGGCCGGGTAGGAGGCGATAGGGAGTTCAATAGCGGCGGGAACCCAACGTAGGGTGGTGATGGTTTCCCAAGCTCGTTCCCAAGCTTTAGTGACCACTTCAGGATGATGACCGTTCAATTTCAAGTGGTTGACATGGATTGGACCGGAGGATCCCCAGGTGATATTACGGGGGGCGGGTAGTGGATTCACCTGGACGGCGGATACAGCCGTCAAGGCCCCGAGTACACTCAGGACAGAGGCGAACTTCATGTTGATGAGATGAGCGATGATGAGAAAGAGTAGAACTGAGGCCAGGAGATACCCCGGCGTATTTATGTTGAGCTGCATTGCATTGCCGATCGTTGGAATGGGGGCGATTGTAACCTTGAAAATAAACAACCTTCTTGTTACATCCCCTTAATCAACTAATCTCCTAATAAATTTCATATTAAAGGACAAGATAGAAAGTGCAACGTATACATGCAACTTCAAGGTAATAAGAAGAGAGAGGGGAAGCTACGGACCTACGGAGCTACAAAATGATACAGTCACACTCCAATGTCGATCAATAACAAAATATTTGAAGTTCTGGAAATACTTTGAAAAGTAGGGAAATCTCCTTGAATTCCAGGTATCATTTAATAAATTTAAACCTCCAATGTCTTTTCCAATTCCATCCCTTCCCGGAACTCCTCCTTAATGGCTTCCGCTTCCTTAGCAGAGGGTACGACACAAGGACGTCGAGGAAGACCACCATATCCACGGTAGGATTGCAGACCACTCTTAACAGCAATAAAGCCACCATGAATAGCAGCCCAATCGGCACGCGCAACAATAGCCTGCAGCTTTTGCGCCTCCTGAACCTTCCCAGCCCGATACAACTCCATAATCCGCACACAAGAACGAGGAATCATATTAGCCAATCCACCGATAATGCCCGCTCCACCAGCAATAAGAGTTTGTAGCGTGAAATCGGCCGAGCCACCAAAAGTCAAGAACTCCGGTTTCGCCGCCGCAACACGAGCCAACTTACCCGTGTTACCGCACGTGAGCTTGCACCCGATGATATTGGGGTGTTCGGCCAGAGCCACGATATCATCTGAGCTGAGATCGAGGCCAGATTGCACGGCGGGGAAGTTATAGATGAGAACGGGGATGGGTGAGGCATCGGCTACAGCACGGAAATGGGCTTGCATGGACTCGTTGCTCACGAGCGTCTTGTAGTAACTGGGTGGGAGCACGAGGACAGCATCCGCACCTACTGCAGCAGAGTCCTGGCAGAATTGAATGGTTTCGCGGGTTGATGCGGCACCGCACCCGGCGATCACGGGCATGTTGCTGTACCCTGCTGCATCGACGGCGCGGCGTGTGGCGGCCGTGATGGCTTTGCGCTCTTCGCGGTCTAGGTGGACGGCTTCACCATTGCTTCCTTGGGTTACTAGTCCGGTTACCCCGCTATTGGCGAGATAAGTGGCGTGCTTCTCGACTGTTTCAAGATCAACCTCTTCGTCGGATTTGAAGAATGCTACGGTGGGGACGTAGACACCGTGGGGGAGGGGATTCCGAGTTCTGGTCATTCTTGGATTTGGAGATTCTATTAATTTATTAGTTCTTTTTTCTTGTAAGTTGCTTTCATCTTTTTCATACCAATGGATATATTTGAGGATTCAATGGAAATGGTGGACTCGTCCAGCTATTTAGCTACGAATTCCCCCACGTTCAACGGCGAACTACGTGGGACTTTGATGCTCTTCGCTTTCCCCTCCCCCACGCTTTTGCGGGGTTACAGATGTTACGTTCTTCATCTACAACATACGGGGTTTGCTATGACTTTATTAGGAGTAATCCTGATTTCCTCTTAAAGCAAGTGAAACAAGTGAGAAAGTGAGAAACTTGTCTGCTATCATTTGATATACTGGATGTCCAGAACTATATGTCTACCATGTCGATTACCTTGGTCCTGTCGAATTTCCAAGCTCTTACGATCTCTTAAGACTCGAACCTCTTATGATCGGAATTGGAATTCGGACCTTCTGGTTGAATTGCCGTCCCCCACACAGAGGCCGTGGGGGTATGTCATTTCCGAGGCGATGAGGGGGATATTGAGGGCATTGAAGATTGGATATTCGGCGATTTTATATTCCTATTAGAACATAATATATATAGGAAACCGGAATTGAAGTCCGGAGACAATAGGTTGTCTTGATTACCTATAATGTCCTCTGAATACAATCACTTTTATATTAAATCTGACAATAGAACAATAAAACAATGAACAGGAATACATAGAATGAATTAAGATATTTCTGTATATAAAAACCTCCGCCAAGAACTTCGATATTCTCATTCCCAACTGAAAAAGGGAGAGTTCACGGGTTCCCTCATCCACCTACAATGACCGCCTAATCTTCTTCAACCAATCTATTAATGGCCCTCCTGTCGCGGTCGCTCCGCGGCTCTGTGCGACGGCCTGAACCCGGTCTGGAGAAAGGCGACCGTCGCAGCTCCCCCGACTGTCTCGATACCTCCAAAGATTCAAAATCTCGTAACCCCTTGAAACCGACGCGCCCGCGCACCAATCGCACTCGCCGCGACTCCTCTTCGTCAGTTGACACAGTCGCCTCGGGGCAATTGACCACTCCGGCGACACGGACAAATGGAAATGGTCTCTTCAAGACCCCACGCGCCCGCCGTGACCCAAGTACACCCTCCGTCACGGACTTGTTGCGCGACGTCAACGAGTCGCCAGACCCATTGGACACAATCTCCCCAGCGCCCTCGGTCGCGAAACAGCGCATCGTTACCCCGGCAAATGGGGACTCGAATCTCAGACCCGGTTCGCCTGTGACCCGCACAACTCGTCGCAATGACAGTCGATCGCTGGCCGACGACAACGCGACCAAGGTAGAGGGGGCTGTGGGGGGTGCGACAGCGCCACGAGATATCAAGAACGAGGCGCCCGAACAGCCTACATCGGTAGACACACGGTCGGGGAGACGGTCTTTGCGTTCAACCGATACCGGATCACGGTGCAAGAGCGAGCTTGCGCAGTATTTCCACAACTATGAACAGATTATCAGTCTGGAAGACCCCGAACCTGGTAGGTTACTTGACCCTCGTGTATTGAGCGTATGGCTGACCTTGGATACTATACAGAATTCCTCGCCGCCAAGACAACCATCACTCTCATCGACGACCTCTCACAACCACCTCTCTCCTCCAAACCCGACCCTACACCTTTCGGCAACCCACTCCTAAAGCTCTACGACTGTGAAAAGATCACCCTCCCCAAACCCACATCAAATGCACCCGCAATCGACCCACTAGGCGAAGAGACCTATTTCCGCGCGCACCGCAAGTTCGAACGACAGGAGAAACAACTCCGCAACATCGAGCGCAACCGCGCCCAGCACGAACAACAAGTCCTAGAGCGTCTCCTAGACGAGCTACGCGGCCATGACTGGCTACGCGTGATGGGCCTGACAGGGGTCCATGAAAGCGACAAGAAGCTCTACGAGCCGAAGCGCGATATCCTAATCCAAGAGCTAGTCACTCTAGTCAACAAGTTCCAAGCATGGAAAGACGAAGAGCGTCGACGGAAACTGGAGAAGGAAAAAGCACAAACAGCAGGCGAGGCATCTCATGCCCCCCGACAACACACGCGCAAACGATCCCGTCCCATCGAAGAGGTGGACAGCTCCCCAGCGCCGATTGATTTACAAAGTACGCTCGACGACGCCGACCCAGATCCAAGTGACATCGACGCCTTGGCTGCACGTCAACTCCATCAAGAAGCCCGCTCAGCAGTCGCTGTCAAATCGCGCAAGACAGCGCCTCGCAAATCTATCTCCAAACCCAACAATACTACCAATACGACCGACAATGACCCCGAACCAAAACAGACACCGAAACGCAAAAAGCTAAACCAAACACCCACCAAACCTCAATCACAGCCCCCACCCCCAGCCCCAGCTTCAGCCCCGACAAAACCCACCCGACCCCTCCAACAAGCCTCCCTCACCCACTTCTGGAACCCAGCCCCAAGAGACGGCCCATTCACATCCTTCTTCCGCCAACGACACGTGCGACAAGCCGCCATTGCCGCAACAAAAGGCATCCGCCGCGGTGGATCCCGCTCAACCCTCGCATTCGGATATCCAGTCCCCGAACAATCCGAGCAGGAATTCGAGTTACCGCCGGATATCCTGAATGAGGAATCTATTATGCAATCGCAGCGGAAGAGAAGGAGACTTAAGAGGGGTAGTCTGGGATAAGATGTGCATTGCATTCTGCATTGCATTGCATGGTACATGGCACATGGGCTGGGTTTTAGCATTTTCTAGCGTTTGGGGTCGGTGTTGGGAGGCGTACAAATACATTTAATTCAATAGATACCTAGGCTAGGTATTTGAAATTCAAAGTTGATAATATTAGTGTGTGCAGTACATGTTGGATGCAGGGTAGTACAACATATTACCGCCGTTGGTTCAAGGTGCATATGATCTCGCATATCACCCCGAGATTGTGGTTAGCCGCTGTGATGATCCTTCATTGCTAGTGTGGTGATAATCATGCATTGAACTGCATATCTGTATGTGTTGGTTTGGGTTGCATATACGAGCATGTGCTGCGTTCGCGCTATCCTTCCATATCGGTCTTGATCTGCGCTAGTTCTTTGGAATAGGAAAGCCGAGGTTCCTTGGTTTGGTTGTAGACAAGGATATCTGTCATGAGATTATTATCTTACTCCAGTTTCTCCGGTAGGTGAGCTTCAAGTGTAGATAATGACGTCGAGGAAGGATGTCTGTAGATCTATACTAACACTATGTGCTGGTAAATCGTTATACAGTACAACCATTCTGCTGCGCTTGACGACGTAATTGTCTTTTTCTCTGAGTACTATATGATTAATGCTCCGAAAACAAGACTGTGCTTTCTTTGGACTTTGAATTGTGCCAGTCTCTGTGTGACGCGTCTATACGAAAGATTCTTGCAACGTGCCTTGAAGCACTTGCCTTCCTTGTTCATTCCGTCTCGAATAAGAGTCCACATTGAGAGAGTTTGGACAACGATCATAACTTTGCTTCGATGATGAATCTGGGAACTTCCCGAGTTCAATGGAATCATCCATTGTCCATTTGAGATGTCTATATAGGGGTATACAAGTTATCTATCCGGTGAGAACGTGACAAAGATAAAAGAGGGCGAATATGATATTATCAAAGGAGAAGGAACAATTGAACCATGGAAGAATTAGAACTGAAGTGATGCCCACCTGGGCAGCCCTGGAGGTGAGTCAATGAGATAAGCTGTTAAGGCAGGACTTCCTGCCTAAGGTGGAAACCTTTGCTCCTTCCTCTCTTCCACCCCCTCCTCTTTCTCTCTTCTTCTCTCTTTCTTCTTCTCTCTGCCAATCCATTTTCTTTCCTGTCTTCTCTCCCCCACAGTGGCCTTGGAAATGGAAGTGAATCAAAGAAGACCAATGATCAGGTCCAGGACATGCAAATGAGTTTCGACAAACCCCAAATCTCACTGGACTCAAAACATCATAAACAAAAGTGAAGGTGACGAAGTCACAATTTCAGCCTCCTCTAACGTGTTATTTGTTGACACGTCTTTGTTTACCTGGTCGAAATCGAGGTTCATATTTCCTCCTCTCTTCTCTTATACCTCTTTGCTCATTTCCCTACTCATATCTCATTTTATCTCATGCCTCTCTTGATCCTCGTTCTGCTCGGAAGTCGCCTCGTGGTATCACGAGAAGACAAAAAGAAAAAAGAACATCCCGGGACTGAGATATTTCTATGGCCCGGAAACCAAGTTGAGCCCGATGGTGTCCTGGCTTTCCTGCCTGAGCTAACGCTGGTTGGGGATATAGTAAGCGCACATGATCATCGACATGTGCCAGGTTCCTGAGCTACCTGCGGACCGTAAGGATTCTGCGGGATTGGGAAATGGGCCGTTGTACAGTGCCTCTGCAGTGATAGTAGGATTCTGATGATGCTCTATCATGAATCTATGCACAATATCACCCTGATCGGAGACCTTAATCAGCTTCCCCCGATGATCCCGAGGTCATCTCATCGCGTGAGAACAAAAGAGCAAACTTGCATGCCCGATCTCTCATGTCCCGTCTCATGAGGTCCTACCCGCTTACCGTGTTCCTGTCTGGATGTTCGCATGATAGCCGAGTCATTCGCCATACTATCGATGTCACCATTTTCGACATTACATGGTTCGGTGTTCGGTGTTCGGCGTCAGATGTTCCCAGATGACGGCTGACAGTTCTTCGGTCCTATTTCAAGGCTGAGCCATACTTGTCTGGGTGATCCCAAGGCCGCCTCGTGTCACTCGGTGGTGGTTATGGGAGCAGCGAATTCCCAGCAGTTTGCTGCGGGCATGTGGTGCACTTCTAAATGAACATCCCTAAGGTGTATGATCAGCTACCTTGAGGAAGTGATGGTGTGACCTGCAAACGCCGCGGATATTCCGCACCTATGTTGGAAGCTATATTAGAACGTTGTCGTTCGTTGGCGCGCCGTTACCCAGTGGCTGGGTTTTCTAAGGGCCAAGCCCGTTGTCAAAGTTGGGTCGTCGGAAAGTTATGCACTTCATAACTATGTCTATGGCATGACAGGATGTTCGGGTCCTTGTTCCATCCGTGATCACAATCAACCATATCGCGATTCACAGGCATTAGGAAGGTTGGCGTTAAATGGTTGAATCTGGCCAGTCTGATGCAAACCTGTTCCTAATAATCACCTGCATTCGGCAAAGAGAAGTCTATTGGGTCTAATCCTGGCGAATTGATTCATCTTGACGTTTGGGGTCCTATTTCAATTGCTTCACACGGCATGGTCATCCACCGCGGAATGAGACTCTTACGACAGAACATCCAGCACAGTCCGGAATTTCTGCGTAGCAAGACCTGACAACATAAACCTCGTGGATCGCCACAGCCGATCATCAATTCGCCGACTCCATTCCACGTGGGCTTCATCGACTTCATAGTCGGTTTGCCAAAGTTCAGCACCAAAGGTGTGGTTTGGGACCCAACCAACCCATTGGCCATTCGTCATCTTCAACCGCGCCGGTCCACATATGTCGATACTCATTGAAGAGTATGAGATTCCATTGCTTACATTAAGCGATTCTCTCCGAGACAAGGAAGGGAGATGCTAAACTTCTTATAGTCGTTCCCGGTGGCACACATCATGCCATTTCCCTCCCGGAGATCGGACAGCCACGCCGGTCCACATAAGTCGTTCCTCATTTGAAGCGTATGAGATTCCATTGCTTACACTACACTACCTTCTCCGAGGCAAGGAAGGAAGTGCTAAATCTCTCATAGACATTCCCGTGGATGTTGGGGTGGCCCGCATTTTGCCATTTCCATTCCGGAGATCGGACAGCCACGCCGGTGAACATGTGTCGTTCCTCATTGAAGCGTATGAGATTCCATTGCATACATCAGACGACCTTCTCCGAGGCAAGGAAGGAAGTGCTAAATCTCTCATAGACATTCCCGTGGATGTTGGGGTGGCCCGCATTTTGCCATTTCCCCCCCGGAGATCGGACAGCTACGCCGGCCCACATATGTCGTTCCTCATTGAAGCGTATGAGATTCCATTGCTTACACTGCACTACCTTCTCCGAGACAAGGAGCTAAATCTCTCATAGACATTCCCGTGGATGTTGGGGTGGCACACATTATGCCATTTCCATTCCAGAGATCGGACAGCCAGGTATGGTCACCCCTATTGTACCGTAAAGACTCAGAGACTACTCAGAGACTAATGGTCAAAAGCATGAATGCCCTGATCCACCGAGTTGCATGCTGAGAAAAATCCTGAGTCTTCCAAAACCCTCAAAGGGTCGCTGTGCGTGGAACGTGTAGCGGAATAGGATCACTCCAATGAACGCCAGGTGCACCTGCTGGTCCGTTACTTCTATCTAATCGATATCATTCTAAACCATGCTTCTTCCTGATATACTCCCGGTTCCATCTCACATTTTATTCTATTCTTCTTCTTTCAACCTCATTTCATCCCATTCATTTTGTCCGGCCTCTACCACGTCGTCTCGACTGTTCTCGAAGCTCACTCCGATCTGCTTCCCCAAAGCAAGGGAATTGATCAGACTTTCCGCTGTCAATGAACCCTTTGATGAGCTTGTACTCACAGCGCATTTTCATTCGCTTTTCGGCTTTTCACAGAATTCCCAGCAAACAAGTCCAACCTGTTAGGTCCTGTGAAGATAAAGCAGGAGCTGGGAATCACGTGGAGTACTGATGATATGATCATCAAGCAAGATAACAAGCCAATTGCTCAGCTACGACGATCAACCACGCCGCAAGAAGATGATCACCCAAAGAATCGTGAAATGCAACGGTTCGCACATTTATCGCAAAGAACGTCCCATTCATTGAGCTTGCGCGGATCAATTCTCGCATTCGACGCATTGTGAGCGATAAGTGAGTGCACAATGAATTGCGGATCTATCAGTTTTGTGCCCCCTAGCACCCTAGGGCTGTCGAAGAGACCGATCCCGAACCTCCTTTCAGTTTGCCTCTTTCCAGCATGACTCCAAAGCAACCAACACGATGGGGAAAACCATGCTCGGACTGTGAATGTTCGTGTGTTCCTACAAAGCCAATGAGACAGAATAGTTCCAAACAGCACTGGAAGACTCCATTCCCACAGTGAGGAGCCGCAGAACTCGTGTCCGTGGAAACCGCACGATGTATCCATTTCTTTCAGGCGATAGTGAAAATCGCCATCTTAACCGACGAAGATGCTCTACAGCAAATGCCAAATAAGAACTGATGTACCGGAGAGTTTGAGCAAGGATGGTCCCGCAGCAAGAGGGTTCTGACTCCCTCGTGTTGTTCCGTCATCCCTTGGAGAGACTGAGATATTGGCCGAGGCTTCTTTTAGCCGAGATACCGTTCTGAACGGACTGAGGACAATTGCCATTTCGCTAGCTCCCGCCGTGGAGTGACTCGAGTGGCTCTTAGCGCTGTGGTTGATGATCACGTCCATCTCTGGTATGACTTGCCAGTCAACTACAGCCATCATCAAGCTCGCAAACCAAGATGTGACCGCAGACGTGAGATTATGGGTGTTGAATCCACCTGACTTCCATATTTGAGCTTGCCATTTGACCCTCAGAGCTTCCCTTCTTACACTTGGCAACTCTTCGCAATTGCATGTACGCTGAAGGCAGCAATTGATGACGTATCAATCAACTATGATTGAAAAAACTGGTCCCAACGATAAAATCGAGTGGACTTGTTAACCAAATCCCACTTACACAATATGGTTGGGACGGTCACAGCCTATTAGATGACGGAATATGGTGTCATTGAGACGATGTTTTTGTTATATAACGGGTATTTGATGAGGAAGTCTAGGTTCCTAGAACAAAACTATTCCTACAATGAGAAAGTGATAGTTATGAGATCATACAATCAAAACCGGAATTAGCGGCCAAATCCGAATCTATATTGAAATGCCAATTTGGGGCCAAAATGTAAATCCTTCCGACCATAAAAAGATGAGAAGCTAAAGAAATAAGCTTATCAGATAAGGTTTTCCTGCATACGGGCCGAGATAATTTTTTTTCGCCTCTTGAGCTTTGGAGCTGAAATTTTCATTTGAGACCTGAACCCCTTTAGAACCAGGTATAGGCACTCTAAATAGGTGAGGCCGGCATCGGAGCGAAGTTTTCTTCTTCTCCAATTTGGACGGGCAAAGTTGGCCATTTGGCTCCAGCGAACCAACTCCTTTTGGGCCTTTCCATTACGTCGCGACGAGGTGATTCGTCCTTTCTCGGTCCGCAGATCGGGGGTCCACATCTGTTTCGGGTGGCGGATTCTTTATTCTTCAATTTACTGACTTGGTGGCTGCTTTTTTTTGTTGAATTGGATTTTTATTACTGTTTTCTTTCGTTAAGATCTGTGTGTCTCTGTCAATTCATTGTATCAAGCGATTTGCTTTTGTTGTCGGCCTTTTCGATCAATTCCCGACGCGATATCTACTTCCCGAGTATACGCCACTGGGTTTTGATATCTTTCACCATGAGCTCCTCACCTGCTGGTTTGGATGTTTCCAATGAGAAAAGCTCCTATATCAATCCCGCCGACCTGGAATCTGATCCAGAGAAGTTGATCGACGTGCCCAATGTCAGACAAGATGCCTTTGGTGACGAAGAATTCGCTGAAGTCAAGTACAAAGTACTCAAGTGGTGGTATGTTTGCATAGCTTGAAATCTGCAATTGATCTGTGACTAACTTATATCTAGGCAATGTGGTCTGCGTATGTGATATCATGATATATCAAATACAACCTCAATCTAACATTCTACTAGTCATGGTCGCCGAAACAGTATCACTGGGTGTGCTGTCCCTGCCAGCTGCTGTAGCAGGTCTGGGACTTGTTCCGTAAGCTTACCTTGTGACTCATATATGAATTGTCGCTAATTATACCAGTGCCATCCTCGTCTTGGTCTTCCTTGGTTCACTGGCCACATACACCGGCTACGTGATCGGACAGATGAAATGGAAATACCCACACATTTCCACAATGGCAGATGCTGGTGAAGTGCTAGGAGGAAAATGGGGACGAGAATTCCTCGGCGCTGCCCAGATCATCTTCCTCATCTTCATCATGGCCAGTCATCTATTAACCTTCACCGTTGCCATGAACACAATCACAAACCACGGCACCTGCTCCATCGTCTTCGGCATCGTCGGCATGATAATCTCCTTCATCTGCTCCCTACCTCGAACTCTTGCAAAGATGTCATGGCTATCAATAGTTTGTACGTTTCCATCTCCTTCCCTCCGAAACCAAATCTAACAACCCCCAGCATTCGCAAGTATCATGACAGCAGTCATAATCGTCATGATCGGCGTCGGAATCACAAACCCAGGAACCGGCGTCGTCGCAGTCGTCCAAACAGACCTCTTCCACGGCTTCTCAGCAGTCTGCAACATCGTCTTCGCTTTCTGCGGCCACGCAGCCTTCTTCGGCCTAATGGCCGAACTCAAAAACCCAAAAGACTTCACTAAATCCCTCTGTCTCCTGCAAGGCATAGACATGGGTCTATACATCACCGCCGCTCTGGTCATCTACCGCTACGCCGGTAGCGACGTCACATCGCCCGCGCTCGGCTCTGCCTCCCCCATCGTCGCGAAAGTCGCATACGGCATCTCCCTACCAACCATCATCATCGCCGGTGTCATCAACGGACACATCGCATTCAAGTACGTCTACCTGCGTATCTTCCAGGGAACGGACCGTATGCACAAGCGCGACTGGCTCGCTACAGGATCGTGGATCGGTATTGCCCTCGGTCTGTGGGTTCTCGCGTGGATTATTTCATCCGCGATTCCCGTCTTCAGTAACCTGCTCAGTCTGATCACGGCACTGTTTGCCAGTTGGTTTACATACGGCCTCAGTGGTATCTTTTGGTTGTTCATGAATAAGGGGAAATGGTTTTCGTCGCCGAGGAAAATCGCTCTCACTTGTTTGAATGTTATTGTTATTTCTGTTGGTGCTGCGCTGTGTGGGCTGGGTCTTTGGGTCTCTGGGAAGGCTCTTCATGATAACCCCAGCAGTGCGAGCTTTTCCTGTGCGAATAATGCTTAGCTGCATTTGTGTTTTTGCGTTCGGTGCTGGGTTGGCCCGGCTTGTATAAAAGTATAGATGGGAAGAGGTTATGGCGTTCTGGTTCCGCATTTGTGGGCATTTGTTTTTGATATCTTGGATACCTTCTCTCGAGTTATTGCTTGAGTTGACTTGCATACTTCTGTCATTTGTATATACACACTACAGCGCTGTTTGGAAATAGACGTGTACGAATATAATCATATGCTGAGACATTGACTGCTTGCCTTTGCTGTGGATTTAGAGATAATCTAGACTTGAATGGCTCGGGGCAAATCCGTTTGGTGGGGTATCTGATTGTAGGAAGTGATTCGCTTTCGCTGGCTTCTGTCCTTGAGAGCTTCAGTCCCTGGGATGAGGCCATGGAGGTGCGAGCACGTTCTATACAAAAGATGGTAGCTCAGTTGAAATTTTATTTTAATCAATTTAGTCTTGATGATAGGATAAGCCGGACATCAGATGTACATCAGATGTTATGCTCACTGCTAACAGACTGCCAACCAAAACACCGTAACCACATACGATCAAGCCTGCTCATTTTGTGACGCCAACAGCTCTGATATCGATGTTCAGCGATTACGAAAGAGTGAGACCGTGAAGCTGGAGGATCAGATCTTGGATGTCAGGTATTCAATAATGTTAACGAAGGGACCGCGAATTTCAGACGTGTTTAGCTGTGCCAGTGGATAGATTAACTGGCGAGGATGGCCAGTTGCTCTTCCTTCGGGTAGAACCATCGAGTGACCGAGGAAAGCTTTCACCAAAAGACCTTGTGGCTCTAGGGCCAAGAATACACCTCACAATTGTGTTGTTCGGGACATCTAGCAATAGGAAGGGACTTCTGAAAGCGTCCTTATGGGGGTGGTGGTCCCTTTGCACAGAGTCAAAAAATGACACGCTTCCGTCAAAAAACCCCGAGGTAAAGTATTGGAACTGTGAGGTTGTTAGAACCACAAATAAACATATATGCAAGTAATTGAATGGTATGAATGAGCCCTCAGAGAGAAGATTAAGGTCGTCAATGCCTCACACATCCGCAGATGGCGTGGCTTTCCGGCTAAGGATGAAATTGTTCATCATAAATGGGCAATGGTGCAGTGGAATAGAATTTGGATAACTTACCGCTTTGTGGTTTCGTTGAGGAGTGTTGTCCATTGGACCAAAGATAGGGGCTTCTAGCCAGTTACTCAATAGAGGGGAACTAACTCAAATATCACTGATATGAGGTAGATTAGATCAGTCATCGTAAGAGATAATCCTGCGACCTTGGTAAGGCATCTGCGACACCGGCGGCTTTGCCCTTTGTGTTTGATCAGAGTCGTCCCCGTAGTCCAGGGGCTTAGGAGACTTGTCCTCTGGGATTTGTTTCTTAGATCCCTTTCGCGACTGCGAGCGCTTCCGATCACCACCCTGCGTCTGAGACTCAGTGTCTAGCGGTCGCTTTTCTGATACAGCATCTGATTTAACATCTGATCCTTCATCTCGGGATGACTGCGTGTGACCTTGGTATTGCGCCTCGTCATGCTTGAGCTCCCTTTCTCGCAGGAGGGCATGGATTTCGCTGTGTCTGAACATCTGAACCTGCTCGTCTGTGAGGGTGCGTTTCACTCCATCTGGGTAGTATCCGAGATCGTCTTCGGTCTCATCATTTTCTTGGGGAATTACGGCCGGCTGTTGTCTAGGGAAATGCTTGGATTGGAAGGCTTGGAGGTCATCCTAGATGAGAAGGAGAGGTTAGAAAACATCTCTATCACGGATAATAGAAAAACTCACCAGAGTTACAGTCGGGACCTGCATGTTGGCCCAGTGTTGGTGAAGAGAGATTGGAGTCGCGGGAAGACGCGATCTTGCTGGTAATATTACCGTAATTACGGTACAGTTGAAGGCAACTTGAATGGTAGACGGGCTTCGACACCGATAGACCTGTTAGAAATCTTGTTGAGCAGGCGATGAGAGGGAGATGTATGAAGAAGGAAGAGATTGATTTTGATGATGGAGAGACTGAGTATACATACCTAAAACATCAAACTAGCAATAACAGACAAAGATCTCAGCCTGAACTGACTAACAGCGCAGCAAAGAGGATGATATCCCAACAAATCTGCTCTAGAGCTTAGTTTCTGTTATAGTAAATTTTGATAGGTTGTAATATCTACCTGGCGAATCTTGAGATAATCCTACAGAACCTTGAGTGTTGAGACAGGCGTACATAGTCACTTCAGCGCTATACTCCGTACATGACTAGAGATTGAACCCACCATGTCTCCATTAATGTAATCACATTGAAATTTTCCGCTTGTTTGATTTATGAGAGGGCCCGAAACATTGAAACAAGTGGAGTAAGCAATCGATCTCGAGCTTTGGAATTGCTTGCCAGGATGGGTACAAGAGGCAACATCCATTCAGAAAAGCTATGAGCTTTTTTCTAATGGAATACTACCAACAACATTCCCGATCTTTGCCTTGACACTGTCAAACCCAACGTGAATGTTCCGCAAAGCTCGCAAATCTATCTCCGCGACTCGTTCACGTTCCTTCGCACTGGGTTCTGACAGACTCCAAGCAAGTGATATGTGGAAACAGCCAGAGAAATCTTCGCTGTTTAGACTGCTGCTCCTATGAAAGGGGGATGCACTATTCTGCTCTCGGGTCGAGGAGGATGCATAAAGGGGTGGCTGGCCAAAGCGAGCAAGAGTGTCACTTGACAACTTCAATAGGCGGTTCAGAGCATCATGTCTCGGTCTCTGCACACCTAAGACGAGAAACCAGCGTGTCTTTTCAAAATTAGATGACCAATATAAAGTATCCGGCTGGACATTGAATCTAGTTAAAGCATTAGAAAGTTATCAAGAGATTTGCAAGTTTTTCACATACGATGAAACATGCGAATCGTGGATAGCCTTTCGCAACGCCTCGTTAAACGAGACACGCTGCTCGGTGCGAAGAACCACCGGCCGAGACAGGCTGATATGAAGGGGTAGCTGGGCACCGAGATCGCTATGGAGAAGACTGTGCACTGTTGACGCATTCTCATCTGGCAAATACCCGCACTGTGCGATGACATCTGCAAGGAGCGATAGCTCACCTTTCTCTGGGTACCCTGTCAATGTTAGCTCCTTGCACGAGCCGCATAACACCAGCGCCTGACACTCACATTCAAGGTAAAGATGTGTTGGCCAATTCCCTTCCACGTGGGGGATTACGCGTTTTCGGCCGCCATGAAGGCTGGGATTATCTTGCACGCTCACACGTGTGCTCGAGGCATAGAGGTTGTGGAATGCTGCAGGCAGGGGCGGCAGCGATGGCCCTGGGTTGATGTCGTGGCGAGGTTTTTTAACTGGGCGGGGAGAATATCTAGGCTCTGAATCGGATTCCGAATCAGAGTATTGTACTAGGGTCATCTCTGATGTGACAGGAGAATTGTTGTTCTGATAGAAGTCTGGATTCTCAGATGTGGGGAAAGCTCAAGTCGGGAGCCAATCATCATTTGCAATTTCATCTATAAATTTATATTTCGATATTGGCACTTCTTTTACATCTTTAGCTCCTTGTACACTCATACAGCATTTATTACTCTCACACTGTGTTACTAGGACCTAGGTTTGAGCGTCCCATTAGAGACAGCCACCCAAAGCTGAGACCGATCGCGTGTAATGTGTAATGTTTGGGCACGTCTGTTGCAAAATTTCTCAATACAGTTCAGCAGCACGCATGAAACAACCCAGAGCTAATTAAATATTGTCCGAGCAAAATTGCGGGGAAGCTTCGGGGAGCAAATGCTTCTAGACTCAATCTTTTTTGTGGAACGTCTACTTGGATCTTGCATATGAAAGTGGTGATCATTGGCCGACGGAAGCAGCCAAATTGCGAGGACACCACACCTACATTTAGATTGTTTTTACTGCAAGGAGTACTATCTTTGAGTCCAAGCTTTGGTTCGTGCCTTGTTTCATGAATAGTGGACTGGGGTAGTAGCTTCGCTGATGTTCAATAGACAGAGAAGCTACACCTAGCTCACTCGACAATCGTCTGAGGCCATTTGAGCACCATCTCTAGCATCTTCCCCGGAGATGCCTTGATCCTCCGGAAGTCTTCTTCCCATTTGAGTTCGGTATTGATACTTCGGATAGTTTGGCGTCTGAGTACATTCTATTTCTCGTGGATAAGATCTAGACTGCCGACTATCTCAAGGCTCAACAAGACAAGATCTCTTGGACAGCAGTGATCAAGGGATTCATTTCAACTGGGGCTTGAACATCCCCGGCTTTGGGGGCTTGAATGCGCCTGCACGTATTGCCACGGTCTTTGATGGTGGCGATATTCCCTACGAAGCCCCACGTCTTGATCAGGTCGGAAGAGCAATCGGTCGGTCTTTGAAAAATACCGGCCTGCCCAAGAATCAATAGGTCTATGTGAATAGTTTCACTGTCACGCGGAATAAATTTTATCTGCCCTTGAAATTCACACTTTCTAAGGACACCGTTGGAAGTCTTCGGCAGGATGGGCCTACCAAAGTGAAGGAAGGACAACTACTTGGTACCTTGCCTGTAATTTGCTGAATCCATACTTGGGAAGCGAGCACTGGCGAACTATTCCAAGGCTAAAGGGTTATGGAATGTGATCCTGGGGGTTCCACAAGAGGACTTGGATGGGTCCATGAGGAATACTTGGTAGATAGAACTGTTTGATTGAGAGATAGGGGGAAAACTCACCTAATCTTTTATTGTTCTTGGCTTAAAATAGTATCAATGAAAGATTTGAGAGATAATCTTGGTGATACATCAATATCCCCGGCGCCATATGCGAATAACATGGCGGTTTTCTGTTTGAGTATCCGTTTCTCGGACATCTTGTATCGGCATTCCGGCTGAAAGGAAAGTGGATCAATGATCACCTAAACAGAATCCACGTGCAAATCCGATCTCAATTTTCTTAGCGTTATCGATCGTTGATACGCAACGTAGACGTGCTCATTAAGCCGAGGTAACTATATCCGAGGGAAATGGCAGGTAAATTTTATATTCTCATCTATATAACAACTACTTGATTTTATATCATCCTCTGCTTACCACCGACTGTATCTTTTCCACACGTCAACGGTGTCTTTAAATACCTCGGTCAATCCAAGCATTGGTCACAACCATGGCAACCACTTTAGCTGAACATATATCGCTGCAGAAGTTACATGATCATTATGTTTCCACGCACCTTCCACAAAAGATGGGGAATTCAGCACCCATCGCGTACGGAGGCTACGCTATCGCTCTCGCAATACACGCTGCGTATAAAACCACTCCAGATGGATTCCACTTGCACTCGGCGCTTGGGCATTACCTCCGGCCAGTAAGCACTGAAATCAATTTGATATGCACGCCTGTCAAACTCCGACAATCGAAGAGCTTCGTGAGCTACCGCGTTGCCGTCGAACAGAACAACCCCTCGACTGGCCAACCGCACCTATGTATGGAGCTCCTAGCCGACTTTCACACGGATGAGCCGTCCGTTCTCACATTCTCGAGTAAACCCACTCGCAGTTACAGTCACTGGCGTGATTGTGTGCCCTGGGACCGCCTTGTGGAGGACTTGGTCAAGGCCGAGAAAATAACAGAGCCGTTATTCAGAGCTTTCCACACTCTATTCGGACTATCCCGGGGCCTTTACGAAGGCCGCCCCTGTCCGGAAGGAGTCGCAGCTCAGAATCTTCTGGGGATGGCCAAAACCATCAAAACCAGCCAGGAAGAATTGTCTCCGACAGAAAAGTCGTCAGCAGACTGGGTTCGAGTCCAACACCCTCTGCAGACAGAGGGGGAAGAGATAGCCAGCTTGGGCTTCATTATGGATGGTATTTTGGCGTTTTTACCATTGGCACACAATCACATGTTCTTCGACGATGTTGGCGCGTGTTCGAGCTTGGATTTTGCTCTGCGGATCTTTACGCCGCGGCCCAAAATGGATGAGTGGCATTTGAGGGAAATAATCAATCACCATGCTGGCAATGGCCGCACATACAGTGAGAGTAAATTGTGGGATGAGGGAGGTAATTTAGTGGCTTCTATGACACAGAAGTCGATTTTGCGAGTTCCTGCCAAAGCTGCAAGGATGTAAAGTTAGTTATCATTTCCCTTTAGATTTTCTGCTTGCTCTATAGAATATGATATATTATGACCCTATTATTCAATAAATACGAGAATTTCTTAGGTGATTTACTCTCCATACTCTAATCTAGTTCAGAAATTTCCTATTGCAGAATTACCGGGGTTGGTTCGTTTGCTGGATGTGAGTCCAACCGGCACCCGCTATCGCCCTCTGTCTAGTGTGCGTCTCTTACTTTGCACCATATCATTCCCCCCAACTATATATCAAATACATACGACCATAGGGTGTGGAAAACAGGGCTTCCCGTCCGCTCAGCCGTACTTAAGCCACACGCCGGTGAGTTAGTAGTTGGGTGGGTGACCACCAGCGAATCCTCACTGTTGTATGTTTTTGTTCTGTTTTTGTTCTGTTTTTGTTTTGTCATTGGTTGGTACATTTGTTTGCCCTTGCCGCTTTACTCTTCAGCCCCTTCAGGCCCTTCAGGCCCTCTATTCTTCACCCGATCGCCCTGAATACCCCCTTTTTGCTCATGTCCCCGTCCCCACTTTACTTTTTTGGTGGCCAGAATTGATCCTGATCGGAGCTGATCACGGAAAATCGATTCACCGTATCCATTACAACCGTCTGGTCTGGTCTTGGTATTCCCTTCTCCAAGGACATAGTGAAGGTTCTGACCAAAGAAGAGGTGCAGAAACGAATGGCTCGCTCCCATGGAAAATAACCACAATTGAAGAGCTCTCCCGTGCCAAACGCATAGGGTACTTCACTAATTAAGACTAAGTTGAACTGGCGACCTGTTTATTCTCACGGATGGACCACCACTGTCAAGGGCCTAGGCTCTATATCCGGGAAATGATCCACGCTCTTAGGCCTTTTGGGTCGTGGGCTCTCATGTTGTCTCCTACGGGGATCTGGTATATATTGATCCGCTAGTTTTTAATCAACTACGCAGTTATGACTGGCAGGCCCTCTTCTTATTGGATGCCTATGATATGATGTGCTTCCGTAGACTCCGGAGGCTAGAGAGGAAATGACGATGTTGTGCTCTCCGACGCGACCCCACGTATAGGCGTTCGCGTCGGTCCGGTATCGAGTGAAGCCGGCTAGAGTTGCATGTTCCTGATCGAGCATCGCCTCGGCAGCGGCCCGCTCGAGAGGAAGAGCAGCGATCCAGGCGATTGCATAGGATTCCGGGCTAGGGAGAGCGTTACCCGATGCCATGTGCGGAGAGAAGCGCACGACGCTGTCAGATAGGGCGTTAGAAAAATAGGGATATGCGGTTCGCCTTCGTCCTTGAGGAAGCTGGAGTTGAGTCACGCGCAGGGGAACGGAGGAGACTGTGACTGTGGCATGTTATTCATCACCGTCAGTTGCCAATCAGGGCTAGGGGTAACCTATATTGACCTCTTACCGGATTCACTCTCATTCTATCTCAACGTAATCCCACCTGAGTAGGACAGAGGCAAGCCAAGGTTTGTCAGTGGTGGGGCCCTGAGATGTGGGCCCTTGCATGACAAACCCTCTGAGGTCGACTAATAATAGGATATCATGTGCTGTGATAGTGTTCGAGGCTGAGTGTTGGCCATAGCCTGCTTGGTACACAATTAGCCAATCATTTACCGCCGACCAAAATGGCGCTGGTATCTATTATAGTCGAGCATTTTCTGGGCGAAGGTATTTGACACATCAGTGGTCTCAAAACTGCTTGTCGTACGCTTCCTTCATTTGATGAATGAAGGATACTAGGTCTGAAGTTCAGGGCAAGGCAAATAATAATGCCATAAAAAGAAATAGTAGAGGCAGAGTGGGATTCCGGAGACCGGGAGTAAATAATGACTTTATGAACTGGAAAGCGAACACTATTACACGTGAAGTAAGTTATATAAAACTCTGCCGCTCACAACGTCTACTCTTCGTCCGTACAGTTAGAATGCTGACAAATAAAACTGTTTCGAAAGCGCCAAATTGTCAATCAGATGGCACCATGACGTAGTTCACCTGGTCCTGGAAATGTGCAAAAGGGTTTGAACATGGGGACGAGGATCATATGGGTGAATAGAAACATTTAGTCCGAATTGATATAGATGCCCGTAACTGGCAATTTGTATGGATTCTGACTATCCTGTAGTGCTTTCAAAGGCTTCAGGGGAAGTATATTTCCTAGCACCTGCTGCGTCGTTTATCGGAACACTATAGACCCTCGGCATCTATTACAGGCAGGGAAATGCATTTCATTGCCTGAAAACAATCTTTACTGTGGTATCGTGAGCTGTGAGATAGATCGCCCCGTCCAATGGTAGTGGATATGTCATCTCCCCCTGTAGTTCCATCACGTCCACCATAAGAGATTCATTAGGTAGCCTGGTCACCTGGTCGACAGTGATTGGTTCAATGGTGTACACAGGAAACTGAGATGTGGATTCAAAGGTCGAACTTTCCTCCATCTCGAGGTATATATGCAAGCGGTCAGCAAAAAAGAACGGAGGCGAATTTAACGTGTGGATAATTCCAGTGAATGGGTCACTGAGAACAAGAGAACAGCTACTAAATAGCTTATTATTCACGGACGGACTCTGTCTGTTTGTTGAAACTGCATTTGAAAGAGCAGGTTTCATAATCTCGGAGTCTGGAGCGAAACTAGGAACCGACGCCGTTCTCTCCGTGGCAATATCGACAGGATCCTGTACACCGCTCATTGTCGACACGGAGGTCAACATAGGAAGTAACGTGCTTTCATTCGGGCACGGATGGACACTCGTTTGACCTTTTTCTCGGGCCCTGATGGTTTCTCGAGCATAGTTCAGTAGGAAGTCATTAAATCGGTGCTCCAGGTACTTCAACGACAAAGCTGCTGGTATTCGCCAATTAGGGTACAATCTCCCATGTGTGCGTGATGTGTACATCTTTCCATGGCTATGGATCAATGCATGGCATAGAAAGCACGCATCCTTGCTGGATCCAATGACCCGTGGGAACAACGGAGCCGACCGTGTTTCGCAGTCGGCGATAAGCTGGACCTCTGCATGGATTTTGGCTTCTCGAAGAATTCTAGTTGTTTGCTCGCAAAATTGTTCGCTCAGATTCTTGATTTTGCCACCATTTATGAATCGGGAAATCTGAGAGATGCTATAGTATTTGCCATTGATTTTCCCTAAACGGCACAGCACTGCTGAAAGATTAGGCGAGTATGCGGGGTCGTGGGGTCTATCAAAAGCGGCTTGAGGAAGAGTCGCTAGACGAATCTCAAGGTTTCGGACAAGAGGAAACTTCTTGGCAGTGCGATGAAGTACTCGAGCGGCTTCTTTATATCGGGATATTTTTCGAATTATATTGAGTAGAGTAGCTGCAAAGGCTGACTCATTGATCACCCTGTTAGAACCAGTGGGAATTAAATAGAGGAGTTGCTGCAAGCCTTGTACGTTGTTTAACTGGTATATCTTCTCCACAATATCATTGAGACGTGACGGGATGCGATAATTAGACCACTCATTGACGGATTGGATAACCCTCTTGGACTCCTTGTGGAATAATGACAAGCTTTCCTCAAGGTTGGACTGGCGGAGCATCTGCGGATTAATTTGCTGAGTGCCTTCCGTCGCCTTTCGGAGAATATCTTTGATAGAGGCTTTAGACTCTCTCCATTTCTTTCCAGCGAGGCGCAATCGGCAAGCAATTCGAGAAGAGCACATGTTTACGATCATCTCCAAGAGTTGTTTCGTGATCTCCATAGAGCTACCTCTTTCTGACCAAATACGAATCAGCAGCTACCACGAATGGAGGGTTACAACGAACCATAAAGAGAGCTTCGGAGAATACTAAAAATATTCTCAAATCCCGTTTTCAGAGATTGAAGTAGGCCATTTCCATCTGTATATGTTCTCTTATTGATCGCCAAGAGAGCTTTCAATGCCGTTCCATCGCGGTCCTGCTCAATACACACTGCAGGAATATAATCCGGCCCATCTTTAGTTTTGGCAAGAAAGGAGAGAATTTCCACTAGGTCCCTTTCATTGGAGAATGGAAGCGAATAGGCCTTTTCGAGACCTCGAAAGGGTTCAGCGGGTTTTTGTTGCGGTGATTCAGGGACTTCATGGAGTAGATAATTGAGAGCAATATTCTCTGCACAGTTTGCGGCAGCAATGTGGGATTCACCGGTCATCGTGCGAGACCCACGGTGACCAGAGCGTCGGAAAGAATGCGCAATTAGAGCACGATGAGATCTTGAACCACGAACAATTGATTAGTTAAGAGGGCCACAGGCAAGCATGCTGGGGGTGAGGCTACTTTAATAGCTAAAAGAAAAGAGGGAGAGAAACGCAGATGTACCTTGTAAATCGGACCAGTCGAATTTGTAGACGAGGGCAAGAAAAGGATTTCATTGGGCTCTGTAGCACGGATGACACGGACACCTGCTGCTTGTTATCGCAAACAGTGAGGCGTCCCTTGCTAACCACAGCGGTGCCATCCTATTCGCAAATCCTAGTCTACATGCAGCCTCATACTCACCCCGCCTTCTTCGCACAAACATCAACACCATTCCTACCACCAGTGCCTAAAATTACAATATCTTTCAATGAATACGGTATGGGTAGGCAGTAGGCCACGATCAGCCCTATGCCTCCGCAAGTGTCTCCGTCACACACCTACCACATTGACCCTCTCTCTGCTGAATTCCTTCCGACGGGTAGCGCGAGCCATTGGGCAGGATTGTCTAATCTCCTGCGAATCACGCTTTGACATCTGCACTTCGCCACTTTTGATCCTCTCAGTGCTTACTTCTGCATAACATTAGGCAACAGCGACGTATGCCCTCGGATTACAATTTATCGCAGCAACGGTATTCCTCCTCTTGGGCCCAAGATCTCGGCGTTCCTAATCGTATATGGGTGGGCCCTTGTCAGCTTAACTTATCACCACGTGACTCCCAAATCCAACCCCTTCCCATCATAAACAACCCGTATCGCAAGAAACGGCCGGATCGTTGGCACATCAACCTCTCATGGCAACTGAAATTACTCCATCAGGGAGTCTCTAAGAGCTTCCCCTGACACCGCCGCCTACGAAAGAAAAATCATTGTCGAGAGGGGCTGCGAGACGGTGTTTGGTTCCCTTTCTTACCTTCTGTCAGACTAGGATATGGCCCCCCTAGGCCCTAAACAGGAACCTTGGTTTTTGTTATGGTCTAGTGGTAAAATACGCCGTATTTATTCCGACACCTTCGTTTGAGCCCCTACTAAGCTCGAAACCCTTCAAATGCGTCACTTACTTCACTCCGTAACTCCCTGTCAATATCTCTTACGTTAAGTCGGTCCACTAGCACCTTATTGACTGTTTCCTGTACGCCGCAGATGCAGACTTTATACATAGGAAAATCCAATGTCTCGAGGTGTATAGATTTGCTTGATTAAGCTACCATTCTGTGTAGTCTTGTGGAAAAATCTAAAATGACATGGATTCACAAGACAGCAGCAACATCAAAAAAGCAAGGGTACATCTTCCGACCATCCACCCGGCATCTCCATCCGTCGATCAATCATTGCCCAAAAGTCTCCCACAAATTCATCAGAGGACTCACTAATCCATAAGCACCAGTCCTCCGGTGTTGGGCCGTGTGAGAATCCAATCAACCGAATAACAAAGCGCCTCGATCTACCGAAAGTTTGAAAATCAATACAACCCCCTTGGTCTTTCAGTATCAGCTCTTCCTTCTCACCGAAATCTTTCAGGTTGACATTAGCATCTTGAAGATCCCGCAACAGCGCTCTGAGGGCTTCGTTGCACTTTTTTGTAAATGAGCCTTCAAGCGGTTTAGAGAGTTGGAAACAACCGTCTAAGAAAGCATGCAATAGAGTCAGCCCGTTCATTGTTTGGTGTATCTGAAGACCATTTCCCAACATTTCCCGAAATATGATATGCCATTCCTGATAGACTTTATGCTGCATAGCCCTGTCCTTGATGGTATTGTAGGGCCAATTTGAGTCGATTTTAATGCAGCCCATACAATATGCAACACCACGAGGCAAAGTGATCATGTGAGTGCTGCCGACAAAAGAGCCAGTGTCTGGCACTTCAAAGTTAGAAAGTGTAAAAGAGACCCCATTGAGAATGGCACTAATGACGGAGGGCCCATTCCAAAAATTGCGGGATAAGCAAGGACCTATTTCGTTAATGGCAAACTGAATGCGCTGCTCATCGGACAAGGTGAAAAATAACGGGCAGCAGGCTTGCTGGAGGAAAATAAATTCCTCTGCTGTGCCTCTGAACCTGTGAAAGCTTCTCATAAAGACATCCCAGGGATCCTCCTGTGATTCATCTTCAAACTGACAGAGCAGCCGTAGAAGTGGGAAAATAGGTTGTGACTTCCTAGGAGGGTTTATCCTAACTCGCCCTATTGTAGAAATTGGCTTCATATTTGAATCATCCAGTGCATTTGGATCAGCTCCCTGTTCCAGTAGAAATTCCGCTACTTCGAAACTGTTATTGTAGCAAGCCCACTACTATACTTTAGATACTCCTGTGAAAGGATAGGATGATAAGCCACTTACAGATAGTAAAGTCATTCCTAATTTATCCCTTACAAAAGGGGAGACGTTCCCAGATGAGAACACTTGACGTAGACCGTCAAGGTCTCCATCTTTGGCATATTCAAAAACTGGGTCACCGCATGGACGAATATCATAAGTGCGAAATACCCATTGCCAACCGCCGTAGGCTCTTTTCCCTTGAATTTCAATGACTTTCGAGGTGACCCAGATTGGCAGACCAAGCCGCCATGAATAAATGCTCTTTTGCGACGATATGTGCACTACACTGGAAAGTGATCTAGGTTCTTGTTTTTTTTCTTGATGATAGTTAGATATCATAAGCAGGATACTAGCTGCGGCTGAGCCTTACTGTCACTTATGTTGTCATTAACTTGAATCTGAGGAACCATAACTGTTTGTATCTGCATTAAAGCTCTGTAAAAAATATTAGCTATAGAGCTCGCAGTGAGAAAGCTAGCCAAACATACATTGAATAGCATTGCTGCGAAAGGGAAAGCAATCGAATCGAATTGCTGAGTCTGGCCTTATATTTGTCCACTTTGCTCTTTTGAAGCACTATTTTCAACGAAGAGTAGGATCGCCTAAAGCGACCAGACGGACGAAGGTCTTTGGCAAGATCCTTTGAAATGATCTGGAGGCTCTCTGCTGCTTTCCTGCAGACCTCTAGACTCTGAAATAAATGTCCATTCATTTCTATGGCATTCGCCATTGGGCCCGATGAAAGATTCTGTTCGGCTTTCCGCAAGATGAGATCATAAATTTCTAGCTCCGCGATGAGTTCTTGCATGTCTTCGGGCGCGTCGCGGATCTGGCCCCAGCAGTCTTTGATTTGGATAATCGACTTGGAGATCTGCGCAACGACGGTTCCAAAGGTAATCGCCCCTGAAACGATCCCGATCACTTCAGCCATCTTGTCCCAGCGGCCGCAGATGAGCTGTTGAAAGAAAGAGGAGAGAGGAGATAACCCCAGCTGAACAGCGGGGTTTCGTGGCGCATGATTTTGTTTTGCATGAGGGCGACTCATGTCGCTCTTTTCGTTGGGCATCTATGCTGCGCCTCGGACTCAGTTAGCGTTGGCTGATTTGGCCTTAGCAGGCAACTTTTTAAGCAGCCAATCATTCCTTCTCAGATGCCTACAACTAGTCGCCTTGATTAATTGTGTCATGCTATCTCCATTTTTTACATCACAGTCTGTCCGTCTTTCTCTTCTCTTCAACTGAGTACTTTTCGTAAATGCAAATGGTTTCTTCCATACTGATGCGTGACAGTTGGCGATAGTTTCGACACTCGACCGGGGTATACTAGATATCAATAGAGTTATAGTTGAGGGCATAACCTACTACATACGATTCGAGACTGCACTAATATATATTGTGGATTATGTGACGGGTAGCGCTTCATATATAGCGAGAGCAGTTCTTACGCGCTACCTAAGAAACTTAGTCTTTGTTAAGGATTCAAGTGCCCGAACTAAAAGTCCTTTACTAGTTTTAAATGGCCTTAGACACTAAAACCTCGGTCGGCTAAGACGATACTAAATGTCTAAGTATTATATATCGGAAGGCTGGATCGGGACGTCGGGGGTTAATCTAGATACCGGATAGTTAGCCAAATATTTGCCATCTTCCTCGTCTATTAGTTACTCGATAACTATACTATTATGGCTTACGTCACCCCATTCGTATAACTTAAGTTAATACTCCTTTTAGCTAGGGTTGATAGAGATGATCCTTCGTAGCCCTAGGAAACTTAAAGAGACAAAGAGCTCGGCGGTCGGTTTGGATTCTCTTTATATTGATCTAAATATAGTTATGATCCACTTGTAAACGCTATCTAGCTATATCTCGTGTAGCGTTAAGGAAAGCTGTTAGTAGGCGTGTAAGGGAAGCTTTACGTTCGAATTAACCTATCCTTGCTTTTCTATAACTATACTACACTATCCGTCGGTCTACTAACTACCATATATCCTAGGCGGATTATTCTATACTCTATATGTACCAGCACGTCGCCCCTAATACCCACTACTAATAGGGTAAGAATTATCCACGAGTCGCGTGACCGCCACACTTAGAACTAACGCTTTACTAAGCTTAATCTGAATATCATTAGATAATAGTATTTTGTTTCGGATAGGTCTCAGATAATGAAATTAGTGGCTATAACCTCTCTTTTCAGTCTAACAACCGGCCCGATAGACGTTGATTTAAGTGTTATATGATTTAGTGCCTAACCTTAGCCGTGGTGATAACCACTTTTTACCCCTCTTAATCGCAGCGTGAAGATAGCCAAGTCTTACCTCTGCCCTCGCAAGGTATTTCAAATTCTCGGCTATATTGGATTTAAACTGATCTTACCCTTAGGAGCTCGATTTAGAACTATTCTTTCGCACTCGATGGAACCTCGACCGTTGGAACGTTAAAGCCGAAGGGATCCGAATAGAGATTAACTCATTACTACCACAAGTCACCTGAAGACTCCAACTACGCCCTCCTATGAAAGGCGCTCGCCTCTACTGTGAGCAAAATTGCCACGGCAATTCCGGAGCTGAAATTGAAGCAGAGGCGAGACAGGATCAAAAATCTCAAGTGGTACCTGAAAGTTCCGGACGTGTTGGACGATGATCTCACAAACAGTCTGCGAAGCTCGGATACACGGTTTCTACGAATAGATTTCGACAAAAGCTACTTATATCAAATGGAGAGATAGGAAATTCGGAAATGACAGAATGCTAGTAGACTTGACATTTCCCATGGACAGTCCAATGGCGGGAGTCCCACGGGAAATGTCAAGATCTACTTCCAACTGCCCAAAATGCCGACCAGCTGCCTAGCCAAAACCCCTTCAGAATAGACAAGCAGAATAGTGATGGCGGAAGAGTGAGCTAAAGTATAGGAGGATACATAAATCAAACAAGTATTGCGTGTATTTATTCCAAAACTAGGATTTTTGCCTTCAAGTATAGGCTTGTGAGATTCAAAAATGTTACATGGGTTATGATAAGGAATTATCGGTTTATATAATAGTACTAGGTCTTAAAAGCCTTCGAGTCAGAATATACTATTTGCTTATTAGTACTAAGCCACTGTGTAGGATGGAAGCCGAGTACCTAGCTCGAAATAGCCTTTAAAGTCGAGAAACTATTTTAAGTGCCGAGCTATGTCCTAAAGTATGAGAGGCACCTATAACGAATATGTAACAATATAGAATTTAGCAGCTATTTCCATTCACAAAGAAACTGGGAGAAGAACATAAATAGAACCAGTAATTTCTTAAAATAGCAGAAGATAAATACGTCTTTTACAGTTTAGCGATTTGTTTCTCTGCTTCCCGGGCTAAGACTTACTCGTCGAAAATAAGTAACTTGTGACGGAAACCAGATTCTATTCGTGGAAGTACGGGCGGAATATTCAGGTGGGTGAATAGCTCCCCTGAGTGCCCCGAATAAAGCGGCGAGCCGCCCATACCCGAACCGTGGGCGCTAGGTGACCACCACCTTAGGCATGCTGTTGTATGTTTTTGTTTTTTTATTTGTCTTTAGATAGAGTGCGTTGTGCTGAAGTCTAGTCGACGCCAACCTACAACTACACAGAAAGTACGTCGGCGTGTTCTTAACGGCGTCGATATACTATCTAACTCGGGTACTTGGCCTAGCAGCAATCACTATCGCGATCTTTACCGTACAGATATCTGATTAATTTTAGCTAGTCTATTTAGATTACTCTGGTCCTGGCCGATGGGGTTCTTGAGATCTGTAGTAAGCTCCTAAATAGATTTCAGGTATTCTAGATTAACTTGCAGTTAAAATCGGGGCTGTAGCCCGTAGCGTTCGTTGATGTATGTGACTAGGGTATGTACAATGTAGGACTATCACTATTTACGCAAAGCTCATTTGCTCTCTTCTGTTTTTTCCGCGGCAATCTTCTCCACCTGCTCCTTTCGTTTCTTGAGCACATTATGAATTTCCTCCACGCTTTCTCTCAACACGTCTTCTGCCTCACTGCCCCTCTTTTGCGCGATAGCCTGTAGTGATTGCAATTGAGGGATGACGCTGGATCCACCAGGTATCATCTTGAGCCACTTGTCCAGGTCACCCAAGCCGCTTGTCTTGGCTTGTTCAACCTTGTCTGTGATGTACTTCTCCACATCCTCCGTCTTACCCGAAGAAGCGGTCTCTTTGACAAGACGCCATAGATCTTCAGTATTGCCCTTCTTCAGGGCATCGGCATTGTCTTCAACCTTTTCCTTGAGCTTTGGGTATTTATCAAGGTATTGCCGGGCCTCCTCAAACCCCTTCTGCCAAGTCTCATCCCCTAGCTTTTCAATTTTTGACTTCTTCTCTCGGATCAAGTTTTTGATCTCTTCAACTGAATCAGCATTCATGCCGCGCTGCGCAATGCTGGAGATTTGTTGCCAGGTCCGATTGATCTCTTCCTTCGCCTGGGGCCCATAAGCGTCACCCATCTTTTTAAGTTGATCCAAACTACCACCGATCTTCTCCTTGAATTCAGGGTGATTGCTGAGAACATTCTCCGTGGCATCGCCAGCAAGATCGAACAACTGCTTGAGATATTTTTGTAGCACGTTCAAAGCCTTGGACGCCGAGTCTATGTTCAATCCTTCTTTGTTCGAGAGCTCCTTTAGCTCCGTGTATGCATTCTTGACCACTTCATCAAATTCTTTTCCATGATCCTTTCTGATTTTATCGAGGTCGTCAAATGCGGTATCGACGTAGCCGCGAGCGCCAGGGATGAAAACAGCATAGCTTTTGATCGTATCCTTCAACCAGATAAATGCTTCGTTTGGCTCAGGTGTCTTTTCAGTAATTGTCTTCTTGGCCTGGTCGATGTATGCTTGTGTCTGTTTGCTGCTGTTCACGAGTGTCTTGGCTCCAGAAAAGTGGTACCAGGTGTATCCCGTGAGGAAGGCGGCGGCTCCACCAGCAAGACCGCCAATCAATGCGGGGTTACCACTGGTGGAAGAATGAGATGCAGTGGATTGGAAGCGAGAGTTGATAAAGCGAGCGTTGGGTTGCAATCGCTGTCTGGCAGACCTCGCTGCAATTCCTGAACTTCGTCCGAGCATGTTGGATTATTGGGAAGATGGGGTGAAAATGAGAGAGTATTGTGAACTGTAACACTCGGTGGGTTAGGTTAAAGTGTAGTAAATACTTGAAATTGACTTCTAATGCAGAAGGATACTGAGCTTTAATAGGCAAAGAGGAAACGTAAATTCAAGGAATAGTTCGCAGCCCATCATTAATTTGTGGATATGACGTCCACAGGTAACTTCTAAGGTAGTCTATGTAGAATACCCTATTATCATTACCCAGTATGAAAATCAGGGAATCTACTCTGTTTCTGAGGTCATTGGCAGCGAAACCCAGAATCGGGCCAAGAATGGCGAAATGACGTCATCTAGTGGTCGAGTTCGCAGGACGGAGTAAAGCCCCAACCCCAAGCCGTAGGCGCTTGGGGACCACCACCTTAGACATGATCTGCGTCAGGGGTTTTGGTGCCCTGTATCTTCGGGGAATTTTGGGTGAAGAATATTCAGGTTGGTGAACTGTCGCCTGAAGCCTGGATGAAGCGGCAGTCGCCTAGCACTGAGCGATGGACGATAGGTGTGGTCAGCCATACTTTTGGCTGTTGTATGTTTTTATTCTTTTTGTATTATTTGCCATATGCTGCCTCTATAGTGCACTAGGTGAGTGTGGCTGGGTGATATGGGTGAGAAGTCTACGGAATAGGATGACAGCAGCCAAAGTACATCATCCAAGAATGGCACGTAGACACACACTTTGAAAACTAAGAGACTAATTGAGTTAACGGTAATGACTCCTGCAGTATCATTTTCAACGTCGAATGCACGAGTTATTGGATGTTGTGCAGTGCAACTGAAACGTAATGGTATCCCTAGTTGTCCTCTCCTTGTGTTTTTCTCCCCTGCTTATTGAAGGAACGGCCATACCTATACCCCGTCAAATTTTGATCTCAACTGTTGAGCAGCATGATTAACTGCGAATTTGATGCATGCCACCGTGGGACTAAAAGAACGACATGCTTGCAATCGGGTTATACAAAGAACCTCAAAGGGTCGATAGTTGTCTAGATCTATTTCTGAAGCAAAATTCAAGAAAGACTTCGAATATATAATAAATGCCATTTCACTTCCTTTGCACTCACTTGATCCGAATCAGCACTCTATCACAATCTGATAACACAATTCAATCCAGTAAACACCAGTCTCCGCCTTCTATTCAATAAACCTTCAACCCTAACCAGTACAACATACAGGCAAACTCTAGTTCAACAAACCAAAGATGAAGCCGAACATTATCCTCGCCATCCTCAGCTTGAGCCTTACCGCGATTGCGGCCCCTACTCCGCTGAATCGTATGAAATCATCTCCCCTAGCTAGTGAGAATAATTCCTAACAAAAACGAGTCCATAAAGAGCTTCAAGTTCGTAACACCGATGCCAATGATGCTCCACTTACTCCCCCAACACCTCCAACCCCTCCCACGACCCAGAATGTTCCCGTTGTACATCCTCCACCTGGAAAGGACTCTGGCTACCCTGTAGTCCAAGCTAATCCACCAACTCTGCCGACTCCTCCCACTCCTCCTAACAATGTTCCTGTTAATGCTCCCGGATATCCGTATCCTTATGTCAATGCTCCGCCAAACCCGCCAACTCCTCCCACTCCCCCTACACCTCCAACCCCGTCTGGTGTGTATGGTCCGATTATCGGTGATGGAAACTACCCAAACCTCCCTCCTGTTCCCCCGACTCCTCCCACTCCTCCGACTCCCCCTACTTCTGGATGATACTGAGAGAGCGATATCGTTGGAGAAGTAGCATTAGCTGGTGGCAATACCGCGGTGCTGGTGAAGATATTGAGGATTGATGCATGGTACTTGATGTTTTATGTCATCTAGGATCGATTTTATACAAACTGTCGACGTTCTTTAAGTTATATCTAGTATAACTAAGCAATGACCAAAGTTTAGGTTTTACTTCATACTCTACTATATCTACGTGATTTCTCTTATGCTTTCTAGGGCAAACACGATAAATAGTCGCTATTAGATTAGAAATTAGGGTACGGGACACTAATTTAAAAAAGTAAAAAAAGAAATCTCTCCCTCGGGGAATCGAACCCCGGTCTCCCGCGCTTATCGGTTTTAATGACAAGCGGAAATCATCACCACTAGACCAAGGAAGATGTGATGGCTGAGTTACTGCTCGGCCACTTGGCTGGTTGATGAAGCTTTTACACCATTGAGAGAAATAGATTGCATCTGTAAATGTAATGACCAGATTCAGTAGCTTGCGCTTCGATAGCGCGCGCGGTAAGTTCTATGAGCCAGGAATCATGAACATCCGCGGCTTGAGTATTTCTGCGAGAGGGGAAGTAGAGGAGACGAGTTGTATTGGCGACAACAGCAGTACTTACAGCGCACCATCTGCGATTTAGTTCGAAGTGTAACATCAGATATTTATTGACCAATCACTGCATCAATCAAAAAATTCAGATATAAGATAAACGCCTCACCCGGAATTTGAACAAGTTATTAAGCAACAGTAAGACTCGCACCTCGTATATCCGAGTTATAGACTGATTCGTATAGAATTGTGATGATTTACAATGAGGATGAAAGTGAACACTCTTGTGACAGTGCTGGGCACAGCTCCCACTGGCATAACTGCTCCTGTCCCCAACCCACAAAGTAAGAAAGGTTTTAATCTCAGATTAGGATGAGGTTTTGCTATTTGGCCAATTCTATACCACAGAGTTTTGTTGTGTGAAAATCTCACCTGGTCTCGCGAATGACTTGTATAAGACGGCGCCGTTGTGTCAGAATGTTGATTGTTTCTTTAAGCGCGAGATTGAAGCGATTAAGGCTCCTAATATCGCTATTGTAATTCTAACTTCGCTTCCAGGTCCAACCTGGAATGGTGGTAGTCCTACACCGAACTGTATTCCTCCTCTACTCTATGGTGTTATATAGTCCCTCCAAATGGATGCAATGTTGAAATAATCAATTACATCTGATCTTCTAGTGCATTGCACATGCGAGGAATTATTTGTGCACTCTATAGGAAAAAATAATTATTTCCGTAGAATTACTCTACTATCAACCCTGATGGTGATGAGAAGTATTGAATTGTCCCACAAAAGGAATGTAGCACATCACAAGTGTGTTTCGACTAGTTATGACATATTGTACATTTGAGACATCTGATCCAGAGAATATACAAATAGTAAGTAAGAAGCGGTGAAAAAGAAGGGAGTCTAGACCATCTAGACAGGCCAGGGGGTTGTGACGCTATTTCTTAGCGGATGAGCTTAATTCATGAACGAGTCATAGGAAGGGAATTGATATCCGGTGACTTTTAAGGATAATTAAATGAAAGATATCGAGAAAAGTAATGAATTAACTTTTCTCTTATTAGTATGACGATTAAAGAAAAAAAGAAAAAAAATATGTAGTTCAGGGATGTCGTCATAGTCGATCAGTACGTGGAAGTCTCGGATGCGTGGATGCAACATGGGCCTTGCATAGATCTAGTGCAGGTGAATCATGGGATTTCCAAAATAGATACGGAGAATAGAATAAAATTCACTGTTATAACCTATTGCTTTCTGTAAGGAAAGTAGAATTTGTTCCTGTGTACCTGTGATATCATTTTATCTGTATAGTTTTAGGGCTCCGTATACGTACCAGGAGTCAGCCTCAAAGAACATATTTTGACCCACATGATCTTTTTCTCTTAATGATTATTGGTACATATAGTAAAAACGTTAAAAATGAAAATGTTAATCAAGTACTAAACCCACATTAGAAATTCTAACCACGAGGAACCGTAGACGCAAGTCATCACGTCACGTCCGCAGCTTCCTCTAGATATAACCTCCCCTAGACTCTCTTCCTCACTCTTACTATTCTTCCGTCTACATCTATCCTCATATTCATCTCTTTTCTCTTATAACAACATCTTCAACTGTTGTACGAGATACCCTGCATCACAGCTCAGCCTCACCTATTCTAAATAAAGTACTTATACCGGGTAATCTTCGCGCCTTGCGCTTTTCACCCTGGATACCTTTTCACCCTACAATATTCCTTCAAATTATCAAATCCAAATGGCTGTTGACTGCATCCCCATGGCCGCAGGCCACCTTCCCTTCAACAACGTTCAACACAACGTGGGAACAAACATGGGCAGCAACAACCCATACGCCCGCTACATTTCACCATCACCATCCTACTCTCGACGGTCGCGTTCTGAGTCTTTGAACACCGCACCTTCTATCTGGTATTCCGGCGCACCCGAACATTATCCGGTGGAGCCGAGACGCAAAAGAGAGCACTCTACTCCTCGTCGCCGCACCAAGTACCCCCGCCACTCACAGCTTGTGCAACCCGATATCATCGACAGACTGGACGATGTCACCAATTTCTCCTATCACCACGAGGGCCCGTACGACGCAGCCCGCCCTGAACGAAACCGCTATGTTCAATCCAGCCCTCTGGAAGCCGTCAAGGAGTCAAATGCCGAGGCTCTCCGGGCTACCCCCCACCACAAAATCGCCGACGCCCTAAACAGTCATCGTCCACTGGATGGCGTCGCTTTTTACCCTCCTGGAACCACGGATCGCAATGGCCAGGAGTACTCCTACGAAGAGGGATCGAATATGATGAACGACTTTTCTGGTAACTTTATGCGCATTCCTGGAATGGTATGTTCTCTTCCCATCCGGTTATGTCACTATTACTAACTCCGTTCTAGAAATTCACCGATGAGGACTTCAAGAACGACCCATTCTACAACCGTCCCCTGGTGAACCCGTTCTCTGAACTACGAAAGAAAATCAGTCTGCGACTCAAGAAACGACGCAATACCAACTAAATTGGTCAAACTTCGACAATTTCACGACCTGATGAGAGACTGATGATTACGCGATGATGGATAATGCTACATGCACTCTTTGGGATTCGGGCTTGGGATTAAATTTGGATTTGGAAATGGTCATGTGTTATCGTTTTTGTCTTCAGGAGTTCATTAAATGATATGAGAGGGATTCAACTTTTGTTTTACGGATATGGATAATGGTGTATACCGATACTTCATGTATGTACTTCAACAAATGAAAGGCCAAGGCCATTTTCAAACTTTTTTCTCGTGTCGTGACTCAACTAGACTTGTTACTTCAAATTATTCCTGGATAATACTTGCGATCAGCTCCATCACTCTTTCAGGTTAGGCTTACAGTGTAGAATCTCACCCCACAGCCGAAGAATGTCAGCTGTTACACACTGCCGATCGGCCTCATCCGCCCCCTCGCAGTGCAGATCACGAGTTCTCCATTCCTACAATAATGATAGTTTGACTTTTTGCGGGAGGAAGCTATTCGCTATCTCATTATACCATCATCATGAGCTTAATATCTATATTTTCTACCCGCTTCCTAAATAAGTAACCACCTCTCTCTTCGCTTCATATGCATCAAAAAAGCATACCCTGATTCGAACCCCTCACCCCGCAATAATATGCAGTAAAGAATGCATCCAAGAAATCTTAATATTGGCTTTTTGACGTGTAATATCCTTGGCGCGTCGAAAGCCATGTGGGAAGTGAGTGCATTTTACTCCGTACACGAGATTTACATAGAAAGACTGTGTATAGGACTTAACTCGTGGAGATAATTCGGGCGCCGAGAGCGCTTTGGGCATGAATATGTGTGCTCTTTAGGTAGCTGCATTTACGAGCTATGCTTACGAGGGATAAATGGTAGCCTGGACGCTAGGCATCAGGAAGTTGGTCTTTCTGGGGCGGTGATAATTATAGTATAGGAATTACGTACCTCTCAATCTTTAAGTTATTTATTTTAGAAAGATCTATATGCCATGAGATATGTTGAGAAAAATGAGAATGTTGTACATGCACTCCGATGAGACATGTGATTGGATGCATGGATGCCTGAGGCCTACTCGCCAGGGACATCTTCAACTGAACATTCACTTTTACGCTGACATTCTTTGATATTTTCTCTTGATTTTTACCATGTTAATTTAATTGTACCTCCTTACTTTCAAGTCTCTCTGGCCGAGACTGTTGAAGACTACCATCGAAGAAGGCTCATAGTCCGTACGATGACGTCAACATCTAGATCTGTTCACGAGGTGTCTCGGTGCACCTTTCAGCACACATTATTCGGGTAGTATCAATTGATTTGATCCGAGTCGAGATTCTTCTGCATGTACAGATACAGGTAACAGCATTAAAATCACACATAGTATGACACTACGAAAAGCATTCACTAAAACTTCTACCAAGACATCAGACCCTTTGCCCCACGCGACCATCCCTACTCAATGAATATCACTCATAGACACTTCTGCAGATACCTCATCAAATGGAAATTATCTCTTCAAATGGACACAAGACCGACGCTACGACCGCGCCATATGAGCTAGATAGCGGACTCCGTCGGAGTAAAAAGAACAATCAAAACGCGATGCCGGATGTTCCTGACGACGTTGCAATCAGTTGCAGATCCCGCTTTCTACCAACCAATGCCTTCGTCTCAGCGGGGCTTGCCCCAACCGCCAACCGTCTCTATTGGCAAAGCTTGGTAGTGCGTTGATATCCACCCGGAAAGCAAATCGCTCCGACGAGCAGTAGCACGCGTCCCCTGAAAGACAATGGGATTTATAAATTGATTGCCGCGCTCCTTGAGTGCCAATTCAGGTTCTCGAGCATTGCGGAAGATTATCCACGATGTTGGTTTTGGCACCCTTTATTTTGTTGGTGGGCGCGGTCGCTGCGCTGGAAAGTCCGCATCGTAAGGCTGCTTCTTTCAAACGGGCGCCTAAGAGTCTGCACAAAAGAGCAGTTGCTTCTGCTCCGACTGTCCATCAGTATCTGAACAAGAAGACGGAAAGTAAGTGTGGGACCTTGGCATTGGTAGCATCTAAGACTGTCTACTTACAATTCACTGCTAGAATTCGCCGTGGATGGTGCTCACTTCCCACAAGTCCCTTTCGACATTGGCGAGAGCTATGCCGGTCTTTTGTCGAACACGCCTTCTGGAAACTCGAGCTTGTTCTTCTGGTTTTTCCCATCTACCAACCCAGCTGCAGATAAGGAGGTACGTTTCTTTCAATCTATCCGCGGGATTCGTCTAATTCGTTTTAAGATCACTGTCTGGCTGAATGGAGGTCCTGGGTGCAGCTCGCTTGACGGTCTGCTGCAAGAGAACGGTCCATTCCTGTGGCAATCTGGAGTCTACGAGCCCATCCGAAACCCCTACTCATGGACCAACCTGACGAATATCGTCTACATCGACCAGCCTGCCAGCACTGGTTTCTCCCCCGGACCATCCACCGTCCAGAATGAAATCGACATCTCAAACCAATTCAATGACTTCTGGGTAAACTTCATTGAAACCTTCAGCATGCAGGGCTACAAGGTTTATCTCACCGGAGAAAGCTATGCCGGCCAATACATTCCATATCTAGCCGACGGAATGTTAAACCGCAACGACACGAAACACTTCAATCTGAAAGGCATCCAGATCAACGACCCCTCCATTAACGACGATAGCGTCCTGATCTACGGTTCGTTACTCCCCCACTAAACCAACAACCCCATGCTAACCCCCACCAGCCCCAGCCGTAGCAGCCCTAAACCATTACTCCTCGGTCTTCGCCCTAAACTCAACCTTCATGACCGAAATCAACCACCGCGCCGACAAGTGCGGCTACACAGATTTCCTCGACAAAGCCCTAACATACCCCCCACCAAAACACTTCCCAACAGCCCCAGACCCCAACACCCCAGGCTGCGCCGTCTGGGACGACATCGTAAAAGCAGCAACCTACGTCAACCCCTGCTTCAACATGTACCACCTAACAGACTTCTGTCCCTTCCTATGGGACGAAATGGGTTTCCCCTCTCTAGCCGGTGGCCCAAACAACTACTTCAATTCCTCTGCCGTCCAAGCAGCCCTAAACATCCCACCAACAAACTACGCCGTCTGCGGCGGAAGAATCTTCCCCCACGGCGACCAATCCGTGCCTAGCGCATTAGGCCCCTTACCTTCCGTCATCGAAAGGACGAATAACGTCCTGATCGGTCATGGGTGGTACGATTACCTCCTCTTCGCGAACGGAACCCTCGCTACAATTCAGAATATGACTTGGAATGGAGCGCAGGGTTTCCAGAAAGCGCCGGATGGAGATTTGTTCGTGCCGTATACGGATGCGCTTGAGGCTATTTCGAATGGGGAGGCGGGTTCGCCGTGGAATTATGATGCGGGTGGTGGTGTGCTTGGAACAGCGCATACGGAGCGTGGACTTACGTTCAGCTCGGTTTATACCGCTGGTCATGAGATTCCGCAGTATACCCCCGGTGCGGCTTATAGGCAGTTAGAGTTTTTGCTTGGGAGGATTGAGAATCTTCAGCAGAAGGGGTCTTTTACGACTTTGTAAATATGTGGGTTCTTATCTGTAGATGCAGGTTGACCCCTAGGTGTATCACAATACATAGAAGCTAGGTACATAGTACTTGTTATATTGTCCTCCGAAAGGTACCTGATATCTTGAAATTCAATACAAAACATGGAATTACGATCTTCTAGGCAATAAGTTCCATTTTATGAGATCAGAATGAAAAGAAAATATTTCAATTCTATGGTCGCATATAACGATCCTAGTTTCCTATAGTGACGCTTTCTGTATTAGGCTTTCTCGTGGGTTTGAATAAAAAGGACAATGGAAACGCCAGTTCCTAGGAATCCTTGCCTCCGGCTTCTGCCCGGTGCAGAGGGAATAACGCAGTTGCATGCTTTATGCAGATTCAGGCCGACCGTGGACAAGTGATTTGGTTTGAGTCGATTGCCGTTTTGATATCGGGGGCAAAGTCGCTACACCCCAGATGTGGGAAGGTGAAATAGCAAACTGGATGGTTGAAGCATCCGGCATATGTGGCACTTCTTTCCCGCAAGCAACTGTGGGACATTGCTCTCGAAGTAGAGTGTTAATCAATCCTCTGGTAAAGGATGTGTGTGATATCATCAGCAGAGACAGTAAGTACGCTGCGCTGCATGCATGAATTCACCTCCATTTTACAACTCGTGTACCTCCGCTATCACTATACCAGTGTCGAAAATAGAACAAATCAATCCAGTATGGCAGTCAAGGAACAATGGGCGAGGCTCCACTCTTCGCGCCCGAGATCATTCGACTCCCAACGTAGCTGTAGCATCCCCGTTACTCCCGAAGAATTTGGCGCATATCAAGTTCAAGTAGTGGTTTTGTCTCTGACCAAGCAAAGCGTAGGTACAGCAGCACCACTCACATTGATAGCCACGGGTCTTTCTCGAATGTTTGTCATATGACTTTTTCTTTGCCTTTGGAAGATAATCAATATTCGCTCGGGGAAACTTCATTCCACCCGGGGAAGTTCGAAATGCTGTTGTTCAACCACTTTTCCATGGACGATGGTGCAGAGTCCGTGAGACTCGGTATTGTCCAAGTGTAGGATAATTGGAGATATTTGATGTGATTGGACAAAACAGTGTCACGTAGTCATGGAAGGGGTATCGATTGAGGATGGTCACCTCACCAGCTCTGCGAGATTTCTGGCCGAGTAGAACCGACTAAAGTAGCTTTTCTTAGTTCTCGAGTCTAGGAAGTCCACAATCGGTTTGGTGTCGATGAACAGCAGGTCTAGCTGAGAATCCTCGTCTCAAGAGTTGTTAGTAATATCGGGAACGAGAACTAAATCCCGCTCGAGGCCATACCATACACAGTGCAATCTCTCTTTAGGCGGGGTTCTCAACGCTCTCGGTGGATGTAGTCCTTGAAACTCGTTAGCTTTCAGATTCGCATAGCAGGTATCGTTAGATACTCACTCATATACCCTAGGGCCTAGGCGCCACCGGACCCGAGATGGGTCTTTTTGCCTCCATGATAACATGTTCGAATCCCCATTTATCACGTTAGGAGCTGCCGTATATCACTTGTGGGACCCAGTGTTTTCCCACCCATGGTACTTTTAACTCGCCGACTGAGGGCCAATGTTGGAATTTTGGACCTGTTGATCAGGATTTGAGACGATGTGGATATCTGGAGTTCGGAGGATTGAAGGGGTGAGTAGGTTGAGAAGCTGCTATCTCATGTTGATTGTCTGTGTATTATATGAGCGCAATCCAAAGACTTTTAGGAGGGAAGTTCTTGCTTACCGTTGCCGAAGAGACCAGCAACATCTTGTAGGCCTGTAGAAGGATAGCCAACTTCAGCCACAGGGATGGAAAAGGGGATCTCGGTAATTTGGATGGCCCAGGCTCATCTGGGATAAGAAAAGTTGAAGTGAAAGGAACTTTGAATGAAATGATGAAGTGTGTAAGTCATAGCCCAGTCACGTGTGCTTAACCCAATTTGGCAGGTGTTACAGTCGCACCTTCCTTGACCTTTGCACCTTCCCATATTGGCGTAAATATTTTATTTCTATAAAATCTAGCAAACGACATATCAAGCATCAGGGTTGACATCACAGCACCAAGGACAGCTATAGATATAAAGAGAGAAGAACAAGCAAAGGCACTTGCTTGCTTCAACAAGAACCATGAACCACAGGCTTATTCATCCCAGGCCCAGGAAGACACCCATTAGCTTTGAAGAACCGCCTATCACGAATCGACACAAACGCCAAAAGCCCAGCAAATCCACTTAAAGGGAGTTAGTGAAATGAGCCACCATCACCTTCGTTGATACCACTTACCACAGAAAGAAGACCAATGTGGCCGTAATACCACCCAACGCCCGACTACTCTCGCTAGTCGACCCCATAGTACCCATAATCGTGATAACAAATAGAGCGAACCAAAAGACAGTGTCAATGACATTCAATATCATGTACGCTTTTGTGCTTGCCCATCGTTCAAGTCGATCCATGTGAGTTGTGAGTATTTGATAGGCCATGAAAACGGCTGATTTGAGGCACTTCAGTCATAGTATTAGATTTTACATAATATATTAATATAAGGGAAGGGGTAACTCACCACGGCAATGCCCCAAATGTTGGTTCTTGTCTTTGGAGTGCCACTGTTGGTGATGCGTGCAATGATAAGAATGAAGACGATAGAGACTAAGGCGCCGATTATGATGTGGAGTCGGAACTTAAGTACTGGGCTCCTTTCGATTGATAGGTTCATTGTTGCGATAGTCTGTCTCTGTGATTCAATCGGCGCCAATGGTTTCAATGTGCACTGGTATGAGTAGTCGAGTCCGGGGAGCTTGTATAAACTTGAATTAATCCTAGGTGTAGAAAAATCTGCTTCTTTAAATATTCAATTCCTAGACCTCGTAATCGTTAAAGTATATTTAAGGCAGAATAGTTTAAGATAATTTAAGAATCATACTGCTGGTACCTGATACATAAATGTCTTGGCTCTACTTCGGATTCGTATTCTTACCTGTTTAGGGTAATGATCACCAAGGTAAAACTACTTTTCTTTTCTAATTTCATATTGCCAGCCACTTATTTCCAGCTGTACCAAATCGACTGTACCAAATTGAATTTAAATAGAGTTTTCAATCTAAGCCCTACGCCTGGGTTGTTGCTGATCCACGTCCAGGTCCCAGGGTGGGAGGTTGCGGTTGGCAACCAATGCGAAGGGAGAAGTATCATTGTGAGAATCCAAAATATGTGTGCTCATTGGACATAACTGTCTATGTTGGAAATAAATGATCTTTGCCTAATTGAAGAAAAACCCTAATTAATTACAATTAGAAGTATGGAAAAAAAATATTAAAAAATTGCGTATCCCCAATTAATTCATTAAGTATCTCATATATTCCAACCCTGCTCTATTAACAGCGATATTCCTCCTCTCAAATTGATCAAATGGCCAAAATTATTACACAAGACATTTTGAAACATTATAGAAAACAATGTTTCTTCATTCAATTGACCACTTAGTTCTTCTTGGCAGCAGAGGTAGCCATGCCGGTGCTGCTAGCGACACCGGAAGAGGAGGGGGTAGCAGCCAAGGGGCCGATCTTCAAGGGACCACAGCGGCTGACGGGAGCAGTGAGACATCCACCAAGGTACTGTCCAAGGCTACCAGTCTGGTTGCGGGTGGACAGAACCTGGGCGGGGCCGTAAGCCGCGACGAGAGAAGAAGAGTTGGCGGCGAACATGGTGGAGTTAACGCGGCTACCAATCAAGGCAGTGTGGGCGCTGTGCTCAGCAGCCAGACGAGCCATGAGGAAGGAGACCTCGGGGGACTCGGTGTATCCGGCAAGACCGATGAAAGCACCGGTGACGGTCTCCTCAAAGCGGTAGGCGTAAGTAGCCCAAGCCTGGGTGGTGTTGACCTGGGGGAACGTGAAGTCACACTGGGGCTTGGAGAAACCGGGGGCCTTGGCGCCGACCTTCTCGACGGCTTGGGTTGATAGAGTGTTGTCCTTCTCGAGACCGAAGAGGATCTTCTGGTACGCTTGGAGGGTGGCGTTGTTCGAGCTTCCGAAGGTGCTGTTCACGGTGGAGTTGTAGTAGCCGCCAATGAATTGGGAGATACCCCAGGCGAATTCGAGGACCTTTGCATCGGAAGATGAAGGAGAGCAGGTTGAAGCTGCGTTTGATGCGGAGGAGGTGGCAGTGGCTGCGGAGGTGACTCCGGCCAGGAGGCTGACGATGTTGAAGAAACGCATAGCTCTTGAGGTTGTCTCTGAAGAGTTATCGTGTGGTTTAGTTGAGGGAGATGTTGGTAAGAACAGAATAATTCCTACGTTCACAGGTAGTTAAATACCTTTTAAACCTATGAAACTGCACAATCTTCCAAGGGATCTCAAGTCATCATCACCCCAGCGATGCATGCGGTAAGCTTCAAGTCTATTAGATCAAGTAGACTTTCTAAATAACCGGTAGTTCTCTCTACGTTGGCGTCATGGACCACAATATAAACATTTCAACGTCTGTCGTGGAATCAGCATCGCCATGTTCTGTTGGGGTGACGTCGACCACTTTACCAGTGCACACCTTGGGGCTCTTGATTTGATATTTAAATCTATTCATGTTTAAGCTTTGAAGACCCACCGATTGATTCGAAGATCCAAGATTAAGTGGGTTCGGCAGTTGTCGGGAAGCCCGGTGGCGTGGTCCATGGCGTCGTGGACGTGAAAACTCTACATAAACCGTTGCATAGGTGAAATCTATTACTTTAATATTTACTGATTCTTGAATCTACGACTTACTCATGCACATAGCTTGAATATCTGAAGGGAAATTCAAGGTGGTGATGGTAGTCGGATAATATATTTTCGTGTACTCGGAAGCTGGCGGATCCCGGATGGCAATACTAAGACTTGACCTTCGAAGTATTACATCAAGTTCTTATAAAATAAAAATAGAACATAAGAGTATTCTCAAAAGAAATGATTGGTCTAGCAAATATAGGTCCATCTTAAAAAAGTATCATATGTAGCGAGTCCAATCCCTATCCCACCCAAAAAGCAGACGTTAATCATCAGCATAAATGTGCAACGAGACTCGCCTATATACGTTTCGTGTGATGCGCTACTATACATACTCCGCTCAACAAGCAGCTAATCCCCGTACACAAAATGATAAGCCCATATCCACTACCATAGCCTGCCACAGCAGAGCCCTTCCACGAGTCTACATCAAGTATAGCCTCACTTAAGGGACCACTGACGACGTTTCCAATTCCCCGCCCAAAGGCAATAACGGCGAAGATGATAGTTGCGTCGGCAGTTGGATCGACACGGCGGACCTCATGCGTTATCCCCGACCACGTCGCTGAGTAACAACCTGCAAATAACCCGTACGCGACAGAAAACACGAACAATGTTGGCAATGTTGATGAAAAGCCCCAGAGAAAAAACACAGACAGCGTACTACCGACAGTCGAGATGGTAATACAGGTGATAGCATGGTATCGATCTGCCAAATGACCCATAGTAACACTCCCAAACACGGACGCCAGATTCAGAAGCGTAACCGTCAACGAGGAAAGAAAATCCGTAGCGCCAATGCTGCGCGCATAAGTCGGCAAATAAATGCCAGGTAAAAAGAACCCCAGAGCCTCTATGATATTGCCAAGTTGGTAGACGCAAAATATCCTTGTTGTAAGGAATCGGAAGTTGAGACGTTGATAGTCGACTGTTTTCTTAACCGGAAGCCGGGGTTTGTGGAAGTATAAGAAAGGTGCAGCGAGAACGAACACCACCACGGAAATAACCCTAAGAGTAGTTTGGAACCCGAATCGAGTCAATAACTTGTCTATGCCAATCGGGAATATCATGCCGGATACCCCTGATCCAGCCCAGGTTATGCCGAAGGCGAGTCCTCGTCGGTGGACGAACCACTCATCCATATACAAGATGGATGGACTGTATGCTATACAGCCGCCGATTCCGAAGCCGACTCCTTGGGAGAGAACAAGGTGCGTGATATTGGAAGAAAATGAGCCCAATGCCAGGGAAAGACACATTATGACCAGTCCTACTGATGAGAACCACCGTCCCCATTGAGGAAGGAGGATCATAGCAACAATAACGAGTGGACAGCTCAAATAGGAGATTCCCTATGGATGAGGTTAGCAATAATCGTGGCATATGAACTTGGGGATCTAACTGTAGCACATGTTCCAATAACAGCCACCATATTAGACTCCTGGAAGTCTGAATGGGTGTGGTAATATTTCTGGAAGACTCCGAATGCAAATGCAAATCCTGCATATAGTCAGCCTCTGGATTGTCACTTGTAATCACACGATCTGATTTACCCCATATCAAAGCCTCGAGCATTACACAAGCTGTTAAAAACATCCATGCCTGCAGCCCTCCGTCGACCGGGGGTAACTTCTGCTGTTCATCGGTGGAAGATTCTTCGAATTTCTCAGGACATAAGCGTATCTGTGCCTCACTGCCTGGTAGTGAGTTGCCGCAAGAAGAGCGTCTTCTCTCCATATTGGTGATGTTGAAATCCATGGGTGAGACTGTGACGTTAGAGACAAAAGCAAGTCCAAGGTGAATGTGTCCATTTTAACGGCATCTATATTAAGCACCAAGAAATTTTGGTCACATTGTTTGATCACTGTCAAGGAGGTCTAGCGTTTGAAGGGGGGGCAGGAAATCTTGGTAAAGATCAGCCAGGTGACGGAAGGAATTTCTGTACGTATACTATCAGGGTTGGCATGTAACTCCAACGGCCGAGCGGGATATTACATCTGTGCATCTTCTTGAAACACAAGTAGTAGCTCAAGAGTTATATCATCAATTCTAGAACCAGGCTACGATATGATGGTTCTGATCTAGGATATCTGTGTATCGACGAGAGCACGTTGATAAACATGTTGTGCCGAGGTGTTCTATCGAGCCCCTGCTTTGAAACCTCCAAGAAAACAACGTTTTTAAAAGGTCGAAACTGACGTGCTTTACGTGGTGAATAGAGAGCTCCCTCGCTCTGCGACGGAGGATTGTAAGCTGGGGCAGCATAAAAGACGGCTAGGGACGGGCGTTCGAAGGGATTGGAATGTAGAATATGCTCATCGCCAAATGAGGTTGGAGACACCGGAGACTTGAGCCGATGTATACCCTATGATATCACGCATAAAGCTCCGAGCTGTAGATCACTAAACAGCCCCTTACTCGGGAAAACTCCGCGTAGTGCCACGCTAGACTGAGGATGAGCTAGGGGGCTTGCATCTTATCATCAAGGGGTTATAAGAGGGCCAATCATCTCGTATCTAATGTGAAAAAACACGCACGATGGCGCAGATAACGGCATGCCAATATATAACGTCTATGGGCCTTTCCTATGGTCCGTGGTAATCCGTTATCGCCCAGGTTTGCAGTGGTCACACTCCTAGGAGATCGTGAGACCAAATACCAGATTTGGACGGGGCAGGATTCTACATGACATGTGGTATTCAAAGAGCATGGACTTGAGTACATATTTCCGAAAACTTTGGGTTCAATTTCCATGTGACAGGAGGATAAGGGCAATGCCATCGTTTCTCGAAGTTTAGTAGACTCGGCTCACTATGAGGAGTCTCCGGGCATGATTTTCAAAAATGCGATCTTAACCCACATTTTCCAGCGGGCAAAAGAACTAGTTGCAATAAACTGGATACTTGTGAATATAATCCCTTATAATTAACTCTAATGCATAAAACTGTGAGTGGAAAATCATTTCCTTGCCCTAAATGACGCCCTTTCAGTTAGCGAGTCACCTATTATGATATATGTCATACCCCAACGAAATTCTCTATAGCACAGCTTGGATATAGTCCATATCATCAGCACAGTACCCACCACCGCCACGTCCGATATACGGATAATGCACATCCAGCCAGCGCTGCACCATATACTCGTGGACCTCTCGACGTAGAAACGTGTTACGACCCAGCTCTTGGGCCTTCAAATGTAGCCCCGGTCAAAAAGGCATACCAACTCGCGGTGTCTGTATATTGCTGACTTAAACCCGTGTAATTTTGTTAGTGTGTAACAGAATTATTGTGCTAACAAAATCAACAATATAGGTAACAGCCTAGTCAGACGAAGGCGTGTTTATTCTTGTTGTGACTGCCACAACCAAGGGGTTCAGCAGGTGCTCGAGCCAGGACATGTCGTACTTTTGTGATCTTGCCATCAATGTTGACTTGATCCACACATCGATCGTCACTGGCACGCCGAAGCTGGTTTTGTTGAAGGTGACGCTTGTCGCAGATATGATATTGTCATCTGCGGTAAATTGAGTGACGTTATATGCGGTCGGGATACTGACAAGATGGACGTAGTCCGTATGTGAACAGATCGAATATGTTTTCTCGGTTTAGCTGGTCACCATCAAAGGTACGGGTGATGTCAACACGGCTTTGCTCAGATTCTTGGAAGCAGAAGCCCCTTAGCCTTAGAGATTTGGCAGAAGCAAACATACATGCAGATATAGAAAAGCAAAAGTCATCCACGACTAGGTTTAAAACGAATACTAATTATTCGCGCTGGGATTATTCTTAGGTAGCTTGGATTCACACAGGGAGGTCTTGGTTGCACGCGAAGGACTTTTTGTTATGAGGAATCTCACCAACATTCCACTCTCGATAAGAGGCATGCCAAAATAAATATGATTAAAAGCCCCGTGCTGAATATCGGCTGACTGAGAATAATTGTCCTTGACATTCCTGAGAACTTTCCATAGGTTCCGATTGGCAGGTGTTTTCTAGTGACAACACATTTGAAATCATCAAGCAGTATAATATAATTGTCCAAGCTGACCTTGTACTAGAAACTACCAACTCAAATCCAAATCAACATGAAGCTTTTCGTTGCATATTTGTATAGGGCTGGTTGACACCCAGCCACCAGCCTCCTTGCACATAGTTTAGACGAACAACTTCTCATTCCACGTTGAAAGAAGATTCTGCGTTAACTCCGCGATATAATTCTATATTCCCTTTACTATTACATGTACAAAAGTCCAAAACAACAAAATCAAATCCACTATAAACCCATCTCTAGAATTCTATAACCTAATAATACCCATCACATAGAATCCAACATATCCTGAAGCTGACAAGCAACAGACCCCTCACACTCCGGATAATCCAACAAAGTCCTACTAAGCTCAATCAAAGTATTCTCAATAAAATCACAAAGCCGAGGAAAAGTCGTCTGGTAGAACCCAGGCCGTGCGGCAACGACGAATTCATGATGCGGGAAATACACCGAGATATCAGACGCCAGTGTTTTGATCTTGCGCATGGATCGAGCGGTCCAGAGGAGTTTCCCACTCACTAGGTTTTGATGGCCAGGGTGGTTGATCAGGATGTCTATCTGGGTTGCGAGTTCTGATCGGAACTCAGTGATCTCTTGTGTGTAGATTGGCATCAGATTGTCGACCCAGCCTGGTGAGGAACTATCCCACCAAGACATCGTTTTGGGAGATAAGTAAAAGGGTGAGTTTGAGACGATGTGGAAGAGGTGGGTTTGTTCGTATATGATAGTTGATGTGGATCGAGGAGTAGGGAGAAGCCGAATTGGTGGTGGTTTGCTGCTTCGAGAAGGGTCCGGTGTTATTTATGCCTGTTGGTTACAATCTATTCAATTATCTTCATTGCCAATGAAAGAAACGGCGGTTATAAAGCCCATTCTTTGTGTTCTTTGTTGTGTTCCGGGTGCTGTCTCAAAGTGAGAACAAGCCGAGGGATGATGTCTTACGGGGCGCCTTACGGATAAAGGCACATGAATCATAACAAAGAGGCAAGACTAGATATGAAAATTGCCAAAACATAAGACTGCGGATATAATTGTCATATTCTCAGACAAGATTTCACCTTGAGACAAGTCGTTTTCGAACAAGAGATATTTACAAGTCAAGGGACAAGGGGTAATAGTACTAAGCGACAGTAAACTTTCCCTGCTCGCGAATATCCCGGCTGGAGCTTCCAACATGAACAGTGAAAGCACCAGTAGGCACAACCCACTTCTGGCTCTGGACATCCCAATAGCTCAAGTCACGCCGAGTGAGCTCGAAAGTAGCTGTCCCCGTCTTCCCTGGTTGGATATTCAACTTCTGGAACCCTCGCAGCTGCTTGGGGGGAGTGCTTGGCGCTGAGTCTGGAAGGCCAAGATAGAGTTGAGCAACCTCGGCGCCAGCTACTTTGCCAGTGTTCTGGACAACGATAGAGACAGTGCCGACCGACTCGAAAAGTTCCGCCGGGCCGCCAGGAACAATGGCTCCATTCGATGGGCCAGCTGTGGCAGAAACACTAACCCCAAGTTCAGTGTAGTTGAATGTGGTATACGACAAGCCATAGCCAAACTCGTATCGCGGGGCAATGTCATTCTTGTCGAAGTGGCGGTAATCAATGAACAAATCTTCGACGAAGTCGTCGTTAAGCGCATTGTTCCAGCCAGCACCGTAGTCTTCAGCCTTCTTGGCGATCGTGTAGGGGAGTTTGCCGCTTGGGGAGGTGCTGCCATATATAATATCAACCAGGGCGTTTCCGCTTTCTTGGCCCGGTAGCCCAGCCCAGACAATTGCCTTCACTGAGGGCTGCGCTAGGATAGTCTCCAGGGTAATGGGCCCCACGCTGTGCACTACTACGATGACATCTTTGTTCACGGCTGCGACGGACTTGACGAGCTCGTTTCCATTGTGCCATGGATCGAGATTGTTCCTGTCGCCAGCGTGGCCCTCAACTGTAAGGTAACTGGGTATAACGTTAGCTATCGCAAATGCATCATAGGTGCGTTGACACAAGTCCGACTCACCCTTCGCCGGCGTCTGCGTTAATGAAAACCACAGCAGTCTCCGCTGCTGCGGCAGCGGATGCAGCAGCCGTGGTGCTGTCGGTCGTACTCTCGACAATTTTCGTACCGTCCGCTTTGGCCTGGGATTGGATTGCATCGAGAGGAGCAATGAGGTACTAGAATTGCACTGTTAGCTTTCAGTTTTATTGACCTGCTGGTATTAGCTTGCTTACAGGGAACTCAGATGTACCACTGCCCCATCCCATAGCTAGCGTACCCTCGTTGCAGCCGCGGTCTGTGCATGAATTGGGACCTTTGGGGTTGACGATAGCATCCTGTCCAATGATGGCCAAGCTCTTTGGTTTCTGGAGGGGCAGAGCATTTTCTTCATTCTTCAACAGGACAATGGAATCACGGGCAACGTTGCGGACGACTGTCGCATGATCTCCTGTGACGTCGACATTGGCTTTGCCGCCATTCCAAGAGTTGAAAGTCACCTCAGGGTAGCCCTTATCCTGCTCGAGAAGATACCAGGCCGCCAGGATACGCTTTGCCATATCATCCACGCGCGACTGGGGCACAGAGCCATCAGCAACAGCTTTCTCGAGATTTGGTCCCCAGTATATGCTCTCGGGTGCCTTATTGAAGTCACTACCGGGCATCGTCATGTCAAGTCCAGCCAGGGCACTGCCAACACCAGTGTGCTGCGCGTTCCAGTCGCTCATAATGTAGCCAGGGAAACCTAGCTCATTCTTCATAAGATTGTTCAGAGCCTCACTCTCACAGGCCCAAGTCTGGTTCATCTTGTTATAGGAGCACATGACTGATGCGACATTTGCCTTGACTGCGTTCATGAACGGCCATACATACAGCTCATGCGTTGCGCGATCGCCTATATTAGAGCTCATGGTTTCGCGATTGTGCTCTTGCTCGTTACCAAGCCAGTGCTTTATCATGGTCAGAACGGACAAAACCATGAACAAAGTTGAAGTCATCGTACCTTAGCGCAGGCCTGAGCGCCCTCGTCTTGCATGCCCTGAATTGTCTCTTCCATGGCAACTCCACTAAGATACGGGTCGACCGAGAACCCTTCCCAGTTCCTACCGCCATCGGGATTCTTTCCTAGCGGCCCAGCAACGGGTCCTAGCTGGACGTGGACGCCCAGACCTTTGGCTTCCTGACCAATTGCAGCACCTCGCGCGTACAAAAGACTGCGATCCCAAGTTGCTCCGGCGTTGATACCCGCGGGAAAAGCTGTGACGGGATTGGCATAGCGGACGCCCAAAGGTGCGTCTTGTAGACATAGGGAGGGATAGTCAATCGAGCTGACGGGATATGTATTACCCACGCAGGGTCCCAGGCCCCAGCCGACACCAGTGGCAATCCCGACCTTTTCCTTTAGATTTAGCTTGAGAAGAGCTGCTTCGGCTTTTGAGTAAGCCGCATCCCAGCCAGCGGCCCCTGGGGCATAGGCATTAGCCGCGACGCTAAATGCCAGAGCAGAAAAAAGAAGGCTCTGCATAATGTCGTTTGCCGGTCGGTTAGTAAATTTCCCCCTGGTCCAGCGGCGCAGATGCACCATTTATAAACCCCCGGATGGGGTAATTGGGCTTAAATTCCTAGGCCATAACATACTCCGTGCTCCAGGCGCCAAGTCAGTGGTGATTTGTAACCCATGACCAAGTTGAAGCAGTTTTCCCTAGCCAAGAAAGCTCAAAATGAGCTCTGCATGTTGAGCGACAAATGGGCGACTGCATTGTGACACTGAAAGCTGCAGGTAAATAGGGTTGATCCACCAAAGGCCTCGGACCACCAGGGAATCTCCGTTTGATTGGCGAGTGAGACATGGAATGTGGAAACATGCTGGGTGAATATTCTCAAATCTAGCCTAAACTTCTGTGTTTTTGGCAAAAGCCAGCGGCACATAATTCGGATGGCTTTCTACCCCGCAGTTTTGAACTGCCTGGGGAAATTTCCGTTGATACTCCGTCACTGCGGGTTGTCGGGACGCTCCCCGTGTACGGAGTACTCCGTAAAGAGTATGGGCGCCGACAGTAGCCCTATGGACCCTTCACCGTCGTTTGGAGCTAGATCATAAAGTATACGGAGTAGAAACCGAACCAACAGGGTAAAATTGATGTTTCATGTTATTGATGAAATGGGAACCTTGGAAGGATTGACGAGCCAAGACGGAAGGAGTAACAACCTTATGTGACCCTGTCTTATTGCCTAAGATTAAGGTAGACACCATAGCTGATTCTTCTGGCTTCTTTCCCTTTCAGAACAAAAAAAAATCAAATAGAGCCCACTTCTTGCAGTACAATGAAAAGCAAAACCAAAAAAAAAACCAAAAAAGATGAGGGCCCGAAGCGCGATTCGAACACGCGGCCTCTCCGAATTTGAGATGTGAACCCAAACGGAGAATCATACCTATGAAACGTTAGTGGGAAAATCGCTGATTGGCAGAGTTGAATGAAACGTACCACTAGACCATCCGGGCGGAGTATAGATTGTGGGGCTCTCTCAGGGTCTAAGTGACTATTCAGTTTGTCTTCAGTATTCTTACAGCTATTCCCGAACAATATAACATTTCAATGCTGTAATATAGAAGATATGAGTAGAGCTACTAGAACTAATCTGATGAGCCAGAATTTCTTTTGAATTGTTCAACATCTTCAACAAATATAGACTAGCCATATGTATATGTGCAATTATATAAAATGGCACAAACGTGCCCCACTTTATTGCGGAAGAATCCATGGATTAAAAATTACGATGAATTCCTGTATTTTATAGCCTAAATCCCTTCCATAGTTTGCTAGTATAGTAGCTAGGCATCTTATGACCAACTTCTTGGCTATCGCCATCCCATGTGGCCTCCACTAACAATCTGCTCTAGTCACGTCTCTACTCGCAGTTGATACCAACAACACGACCAGTTCCTTAGACTTATCCATCTTGGAGATATGGTTGATCATACTTACTGCCTTTAAACACTAGACGCTCTTCTCTTAGATCACGTCTTCAGAAATCTTCTGTCATAAGGGTGCAGATATATATCTAGGGCTCACTGAGTTAACATGAATGAAGAGACAAACTTTCAGGCCACCCTTCTACAAGCTAGGTTCCCCGTGAGCTGCTACGGAACTGAACAGTGAGTACATCCAGACTCCTGCAACACCCATTATTAGATCGGAATAAGCTTGATAATTGCTACGAGCTAGTTAGTTGTCTGTTGAGTAGCTTACACCATACCGGTCAAGTTATAGCTATTGACTATGAAGCTCCTTATAATGACACCCTGAATACTCAACTTATCCTTACAACTACTTAGAAACGACGGACCCAGCGCTAAAGGTAATAATTATGTAAAATATTTGTCGACCGGGAACCTTACCAGAACTATGATAACATTAAACACATCTCACCCGAGAAGCGCGTGGTATATACTGATATTGCTTAAGCTATACAATCAGATCCGACAGAACTTATACCAAATAGCCGCTCATTTCGAGGCATTTCGGTTACATATAATCGAAAATACTCATTCCATTAGAATGTCCATGTCAATATGGACGGACTTTAAATTGAATATTAGTTAGGTAGCCCGAGGTAGAGCTGTACATGTTTAAAGATGTTTAAAGTCGAGAGTAAACATAATCGGCAAACTAGATTAGGTACTAATATAAATGTGAAACCAAATAGAGAGGATAGAATGGAAATGGATATGAGTGTGGTATATGAAACTAGCAAAACCAGCAGGGAAACAATGAACCTCATATATTGTGCTGGTGATGCTTATCTCATCTATTGCCCGGATGGTCTAGTGGTACGTTTCTCTCAACTCCACCAATCACCAATTTCCCCGCTAACATTTCATAGGTATGATTCTCCGTTTGGGTTCACATCTCAAATTCGGAGAGGCCGCGTGTTCGAATCGCGCTTCGGGCCCTCATCTTTTTTCTTTTTTTTGTTTTTGCTTTTGCTTCCAATTTATATTATTTTAAATATTTTCAGAATGAATTGATTGAGTTCGGAAAAAGCGGCATAGTGCAATTCCACTAAAAGAATACTAGTAAAAATTTTGTAACTAGTAGAATACGTCTCCAACAGCCAGATTTACATCTGCTCATTACCTTTCAATTAAGCTCTTTAAAATTTCCAGGGCTCATTTTACACTTTTCTATGCTTACTCTATTTTATCTCTTGAGTTATAATACTGAGAGTCAGAATGTCAAAGGATTCTACAAGACGGCAAGTGTGGGGCCAATTGCAGCTCCCATCACACCGCTGCCTCTTGACTGACCCCTTTTGGGTTTACCCTCAAAGCAGCTGCATATTGCAAGTCCAATAATTCGACTTTATTCATGTGGGTAGCTACACGGCCAATCAGTTACTCCGAAAGGTGGTTCGCGATGGGTTAGGTTAAGGCAAGGGGATAAAGGGGCTTCGGGAGGTGATGTTGTGCTAGCTCTATTGAACCAGTTCTACGACTCTGTACTCCGTACGGAGGAGACAGAACTCTTGTTCCGTGCGTTTAGCCGAAACTCTCCTCACTATCTACAACATACTCCGATTGATATTGCGCTGCTGGTCTCTCTGTTATTCTCTGTCGATGCTCAGTTGTCATGGCATCCCGCCACTTCCAGCACTGGTATTATCAATGGGGCGAAGGCATGCAGTATATGCTTCAGAATGAAGAATGTGGTGGCATGTTCAAAGCATATCTAGAAGGGACAATGTGGTGGTGTTCCAATGAGGGTTGCTACGTAGGCAGCGTAGTTGACTGCCTTTTGGAAAATACCAGGGAGTCTTGGAAGGCAAATAGTATGTATCTCATAGATGAAGAACTTTTGGTACATGGTTTCAAAAACACCTCAAACTAATCATGATCTTGTTCTCTAGTGGCATCAGCCTCATTGATTTTAGGCCTCTTGCCTACCTTACTAGCTGTAGGAGGACGACCTAACACCATCGAGGTTGGCCTTTTATCACTGCGCCGGCCATTCCTGGCTTTTATGCTGGGAGTTGGGACCCCTGGTATTACTTCTATAGCAGCCTCCGATCACAAAAGTGCCATCCGAATGCTACAGAAGGAGCCAGACAGCCTCGACACGCCTAAGCTGTCGAGACTTTCGGCTATTGCTATTGTTGCACTTGAATACATCTTGGCCTGCATTGCTATAGGCAATGCCATATACACAAGCTGGCAGCTTGGCGTTTCTTCAGTCTGCAGCATGGCATATGACAATACCTGGCTTCCACTTCTATGGACCTGTTCTGCTCCGTTTATCTATGCGTGTGGTGCATTTGCGATCATGCTCCGTATAGACTTTAATATTCCTCAACAGGCCACTGAACAGAAAGCAGGGATGCTCAAAAGGTTGTTTAGACGTGAGATGCAGCTCTGTAGCCAACAGGCCCATGCCAGCGTAACCTTCCGGCAGGAATCTTACAGCTTCATCTTTTTGTCTTTACTTACCTCTTTGCTTGCTATAGTTCATCTTGCATTTGGCACTGTCCTCCTTTCGAGTAGTCTGTTCGTTGGGACTGGAGATGCTTTTGTCATTACTGCTAGATACTTTGCTTCTGCGGCAGTTTGTCGAGTTATTCTAATGTTTGAAATGAATGGCATGAGACAAACTGTTGACCTTCGGTACGAACACACTCGAAATGGATTTTTGACACAATAATTGACTCTAAAACGATAGTAATTACTAGGCGCATGCTACTGTTCTTCGGTTCATGCTGGCAATGCGTTGGGGGGCTACCTAAATGGGGATATCAAAGATCCAGGCACAATAACTCACGCGGAGGTTGTGTGGCTGTAGACGGAGATAGGGGCTTATGGCATGGAATCCAGCAAATCAAAGGCCTAATATTTCACGAGAGATTGTTTCTCCTTAGATAGCAATGTTAACCAATCAACTACAATCTCGTACCCTCGGGGAATCTCCCCCCTTTAACCCCACACGATCGGCTCCCCGCATCTCCACAAATGCCGGCAAATTATCCTCCACGTTTCGCATCACAGCAGTCATGCAGGCAAATAAACAGAAACGACGATGGGAGAAGGAGGATACATTGCCACGAAAACGTGCGCGTCAAAGCTGCGAGGCCTGTAAGGCCCGGAAAACAAAGGTAAGAACCCACAAATAACAGGGAAAGAAAAGCTAACCGTTTAGTGTGTCGGTGTCGAGAATGGCGACTGCGAGTATTGCAAGTCCCTTAATGTACCCTGTGAATTCAACCTCAAAAATCGAAAACGACCGTTCTATAGGGTATCCGAGGAAACCTATGATTGTTTGGTCAAGCTGCTACGGCGGTTCGTTTCGGAGGAGGAGCTGCCGGAGCTCACAGTCCAGACAATAAGTGGTTACTTAGAACAAATGGGTAGCGACCCTCCTTCACACATCTCGCCTGATCGTCGCGCCAGGGATGCTGAGCCCAGCAACGCTGTCTCAGCTCCGAACACTCAAGATGATCCGCAAGACCACGACCCACAAGAACTGGCAGTGCCTAATGATAATTCACTCTTTCAAGAAGAACTGGGATGTATGACTTTGGATTCAATGGGAAAATATCGTAAGTTCGCTGTTAAATCGTGGACTAGTAGACCCCAACACTTATTGAATTACAGGATACGTTGGCGCAAATTCCTCACTTCGATGGTATCACGCTGCACGCATGGTCAGTGAGCGGCCCATCCTTCCAGATCCAAGCGTCGTTATCCCATTGAAAACCGGCTTGCTTCCACCAACTACGCCCGAAAACGTAGCTAATCAACACCGAGTCGAGCATTACCTGCCGTGTCATCGCCTATCTATGGAGTACACCACACGATTTTTTGCACAAGCTCATTCGATGCATTGTTTCTATTCAGTAGAACAATTTTACACAATGCTCGACCACACTTTGGAAAATCGAGGGAAAACCTCGAGTGCTTCTTGGCTATGCTCGCTTTACTCTATTTTTGCGATCGGATCAATACGGCCGAATGCTATAGCAACGCCCGACAAAGCCCTACCCGAGGATATCCAATCCCCAGCCGGGTATCTTGCACTGGCGAAGGAATTGGTCCCCCGCGTGGCGGAAGATGCCGATATCGAGAGCGTGAGAGCGTTCGCATTGCTAGTTCGTACTTTAACCGAACATCCCTGGTGTAATAGAAAACTAATGGACTCTAGAGCCTAGCGATGCATTCAAACTGTTATAGTCTTGAGGCATATCTGTACCTTGGTACAGCAGCGCGCATAGGATTCTCGCTTGGTTTGCACCGCGATATATTCCCAAAGACCCTATCAACCGTCGAGCGAGAGCGACATCGGCGGGTATGGTGGACAGTATATGTCCTGGACCACGAGATGGCAAATCGATATGGCTATCCGTGTGCCATTTCCGATGATCTGGGATTTATGACGACAGGTCCCGCCTCGGAACAAATTTTGGATCCATCTCCTAACATGCCTCAAGGCTTCCAGGCACTCTCGGTCAGCCTTGTACAGCTCCAGAAAAAGATCAACATGGAGTGTTTCTTTCAACCAGTCAATGGCGGTAGACTACCTATCAACCTAGTTACACAGAGTCTGGTCACACTGAAGAAGTGGTTGGACAAGGTACCTCATCATCTGCGCTGGGACTGCACTGCACCCCCGCAACATTCGCGATCAATCGCAGTTCTCCACTTGCGGTACTGGTCACTAGTGATATCAATTTCACGTCCTTTCTTGTTACTCTCTGTAACAAAAGCTGGGGAAATTGACTCCCTCGTCAGGCTCAGGTGTTATGATAAACTTAGCAACGCCTGCATTGAAGCAGCAGAGATGTCAGTCCGCATCTTGCATCGTATGCAAAATATGAACATATTGTCCAGCTTGACATTGAACGACTGCCATTGCGCAGGGGAAGCGATGTGCATTCTCCTGCTGGCGCTTCGGAAAGCTCAGAGTGCTAAGCACCAAGATATGCTACGGACCTGCCTTGGTACCTTGGCTAGCATGGAAAAAGTCGGCTGGTGCGAGAGGATTGTGCTTGATATTCAGGCACGTGTGTATGAGAGTGGATTGCTGGACTTGGAGGCCCCAACGGGGATTCAGGACCAAGGTCTGCTCTCAGATGGACCAGGGAGCTCAGAATACGCTGAGTTGTAAGTTTCACCGATTCCATCATTGCTAAATGAGTCCATTCTAACTGAAATAAAGTGACTTTGATGTTTCCCAATGGGATTTATTCCAGCCACAAGGGTTAGATTCCTTTGCCCAGTTGATGAACACGTTTCCGGATGCCACTTTCGCAGCTGGCATGGAGCAATTATTCTGACTCAAGATGTATATTCCGATAGACTGGTTATGCATAAAGATGTTGATCTCATAAAGATGTTGATCTGAAGACTAGGATATTAATGTTGTTCCACTACTTGAAATAGTCTGTTGATAAATTATTAAAGCTTCAAGATCCTATCAAAATCCAAATACCTACCCATGATAGCTATCTTCTCAAAGCCTTTGTTTAATAACATTTGGCACAGCTTCCCTCTCCTGCCATGGCAAAGGTGCACTGGCCGGCTTGACTGGTCCCAAAACTGATGATCTCCGCTTCTTCCACTCCTCAATCTCACGAGTCTCAACAAAATTCCCATGCAATCCCAGCCGCAACTTGAATGGCAAATGAAGTACAGCAATTGGTCCCTGTGCAATATTTTGCGCATCAAAAATGCAAACATCATTCCGCAACACATCCAAATGATTCAGCAGCGCCACAATATACCCATCTCCCTCCCGCGTGCTACCATCCCGCGGGATAAACGCCGGCTCCTGGAATGTCGCCCGCGGCCCAGCCCAGAAAGTATCCCTAACAGAACCATCCCAGGTGAAATGACCGATGGTATTGAACAGCCCCCCAGCGGGCGACCCGCATCGCTCCGCATCATAGGGCTTTGAGCCGTCGATGTTCGCTTGCCAGTAATGGTTGTATTTCATTGTCAGGAAGCGTTCATCAATGCGAGAGAACTCCCCAGAAAGCGTCTCAACTTCCTGCTCTGGCTCAACCCACGAGTGAGACGGGAGCTGTGGATTGAAGACCCAGCGAGTCGTCTTGTTCTGGAGTTTGTTGCGCTGGTTGACTGTTCCGGAAGGTGTGTCTGCCGGGGGAAAAAAGAAGAACACATTTCCGTCGGCGATGGTCAGGTCGAAGACTACCTTTCCGTCGCCTGTCTCGTAACAACTGACAGTGTGACCCTGGAAAGCTATTTACGAGTCAGTACGATCCAATAATAGTTCAACGAGTCACACACCATTCTTCGATCTGTACCAACGAATATCCTCCGGCTTCCCTCCTCGTCGGGGTACGAGACCATACCATTGATCCTCATTCGCATCCCATGCCCAGTGATTCTCGCCTTTTGCTAGACTGTCCTTATTACACTTCAACGGTGTCATTGGGAGAACCACCCAGTTCTTACTGACTCCACAGTCATGGATAATGCCACAAAATGGAGCCTCATACCAGCATTCCTCCGTCTTGATTCCATCAGCATTGATTGTATACACGACAATATCGCGGGATCCATCATTTCCATTTCCGCCCGCCTATAATAGCCATAAGTCAATTCTCAGCACAACAAATGATCGGACAGACATACCTCATATCCATAACAAACCATCTCACCAGTACTAGGATCCCACTTCGGGTGCGCAGTAAAAGTCGGACTCAAAACCTGCCCCTCGAAATCATATCGCCCAATCGTCTCGAGCGTCTCCGGATCCATCGCATAAGGCGGACCATCCTCCTTAGTCGCCAGCAACATCCCCCTCCAGAAAAATATATTCGTATTAGCCGCTGTGCGGATCACACCGCGCACCGCTTCATTATCCGTATACGGATTACGGTATTTTCCGAACAAAGCCTTGCCATGCTTCGATTCATGCTCATATCGATCTGTGTGGACATATCGTTGCTTGAAGCTCGCTCCGCCATTGTGTATACGGATTGCCGTCACGTTCCCATCACCATTGAAGTGAATGTCCGAGTCGTACACAGGTGGGAAGCGGTGATCTGGCTGCACACGAAAGAAGGTCCCGTCGATGTCGCTAGGAATTACTCCGGTGACTTCGAGGTTTTCGACATCAGCTTCTAGGCGCGAGGGAGAATTGAATCCGGTGAAGGTTTCTGTTGAGGGGAATTTGTTTTGCTTGCTGGTTTTGACTCCATTCACGTAATTGGGTGTGGATGAGAGTGACTCTGCCAGCTCGAAGATATGGGCCATTGTAGGTTTTTGGAAACTTGGATTGAATTTGTTTCAAGAATAAGTGATACAGGGGTTTTTACTATTTCTACTATTATAGATGGCCTCCAAGACGTCGCATGATTTCCCCATCGGATCGAGTATACGATATGCTAGGATCGACATCGCTTCGGATACATCATTCCGACTGAGCTTCCCCGCAAAAACACATGCACATCCCTAACCCGCATAAGTCTCTAGCCTCATTTCAATATGCGGGGATATCAATATCGAAACATCCATTCGTCTAGACGCCGGTTTGAAAGCCCCGACAAAGCCGTCTTTCCGGAAACCCCTCGGCATCATGATTATGAGCTCGAAGGAGCTTCATTATCACCACCGGTGACACCATTCCGTGATAATTGGGATGAATTGACTACGATCTACAATCTTGAACGTAGCAAGTTCACTATCCCATAAATATAAATCGGTCGGAGTATCCCCGAAAGAAACCCACCTAAAATTTCAACACATTCCATACCATAAACATCGTCATGGGCTCCATAGCTCCTTCAAGTGAATACGTCGTTGCCGACAGATATATCGGCGAAGCCAAACCAATCAAGATCATCGTCATCGGTGCAGGCATCTCTGGTATCGCATTCGCATACAAGATCAAAGCACTTGAAAATGTCGACTTCGTGATCTATGAAAAGAACGCTGATGTTGGTGGTACTTGGTTGGAATCGCGGTATCCTGGGTGCTCATGTGATATCCCTGCACATTCATATAGTTATCCCTGGGTGAATAATCCGAACTGGTCCCAAGTGTGAGTGCTATTTTCTCATTGGAGTTTCGGGTGTTCGTCGCTGACTATCGAATAGATATGCGGGTGCTGAGGAAATTTGGGATTTCTATCGTGGACAGGCGAAGGAATATGGCGTATACGAAAAAGCAAAGTTCGAGCACCAGGTTGTTGGAGCGGAGTGGAGAGATGACGAAGGTAAATGGAGGGTGGAAGTGAAAAATCTCAAAACGGGTGAGGTTGTTGTTGACTCTGCGGAGGTCTTGATTAACTGCGGTGGAGCGCTGAAGTATGATTGTTCCCCCCTGGGTATCTCTTTGCCTCTAACATTCAACAAGTAACTGGAAATGGCCTGATATTCCGGGCCTCCACTCCTTCGAGGGAAAGCTCGTACACACTGCTCGCTGGCCTCAAGATCTGGATGTGACTGGAAAGCGCGTGGCAGTTGTCGGTGCAGGGTCTTCAGCAATCCAGGTCATCCCTGCTATTCAACCGCGTAAGTGAAATTCCGCATATGCGCATGGAGGTGCTAATATTGGGCTTAGTTGTGAAGTCACTTACTTCGTTTATCCGTTCGCCGACATGGATCGCACCGCAATTCTTGGGACAACTTGCAAAGGATGGACGAGGAACGAGATACACAGAAGAACAACAGGAAGAATTCCGTCGAAATCCGGATAAACTACTACAGTACCGTCGAGAGATTGACCATGCTCTCAACTCACGGTTCCCTAATTTCTACAAAGACTCTAACGAGCAGAAAATGGCGAGGACACTTGTTGAGAGTGGTATGAGGGAGAAACTCGCTGCGATGGATCCCAAACTTCGGGAATCACTCATTCCAGACTTTGACGTTGGCTGTCGACGGTAAGTCCTGTGCCAGCACACTGGAAGTTGTCTGTTGCTAATGTTTCCTAATTAGTGTTACACCCGGTGAAGGATACCTCGAAGCTCTCCAAGCAGACAACGTTCAAGTTGTGCGAAGCCCCATCCAATCTATCAACAAAGATGGCTTCGTGATGGCCGACGGCACCACACATTCTGTCGATATTATCGTTGCAGCAACAGGATACGACACGTCATATGTCCCACCATTCCCACTCATTGGCCGCAACGGGGTAAATTTACAAGAAAGATGGACGAAGACCGGCGCAGATGCCTACCTCACATGCGCCGTCCCCGATATGCCAAATTACTTCAGTACGTCACATTAAACCACAGAAGATGCAAATCTAACTATGACTAGTGGTTGTCGGCCCAAATTCACCCATCTCAAATGGATCCCTGATGCCCGCCATCGAAACACAACTCGAATTCGCACTGAGTTTCGCAAAGAAAATCCAGTGCCAGGGTATCAAGTCAGTGGTAGTGAGCGCCAAAGCGACTGCCGATTTTATCGAGCACAAAGACGCAGTTATGCAGAACCTGACTTTCTCTGGAAGCTGCAACAGCTGGTATGGTCCCTTTGTTATGGAACTTCGACGGTTGCTAATCTCGTCGTAGGTATAAGGGTGGTACTTCTAATGGGAAGATCATCGGTGTATGGCCCGGATCACTTAACCACTTTATGGAGTGTCTTAAGGAACCCCGGTTGCAGGACTTTGAGTTCACTTACCACACTGCTAACAGATTTGCATTTGCTGGGAAGGGGCTTTCGCTTCTTGAGAAGCAGAATGGTCAGTTGGGATGGTATATCAGAGCGAAACTAGCTTAATCGTAGGGTTGTAAACTCGAATTTCACCTGCCTATCGATATTTTGAGTTAATATAAGGGTATGTCATTTCACAATAGTCTCTACAATTACCTAAGAAAGCGAGTATCGATAATTACAGTAGCTATCATTGATTAACACTTGCATTGTGTAGGCTTTAATAACCCAAAATATAACCCAAAATGCACATTTCTTGCCGCAATTTAATTTACTTTAGGATATAGTTGATATCTCTGAGGCATTATCTTTGAATTTGCCCTAAACTCGCTTATTTGGCCCGGAGTAACTTGAAATGTCGCGGCACTAGCGGCATTGGGTCAAGAAGCGGCAGAAACTGTGGGGTAGGTCGAGGGTGATAAATTTGATGGACGATCCTGGAACGAGGGGATGAAACACCCATGTCTGGGGAATATCCAGGGCTAAGGAATAACAGGATGAGGATATTTCTATAGATTTTGTCTCACGAAGTTGATTAACTACAGAATGTGCTCAATTGCTATATACTATAGAAAAATAGAACCTAGGAACGAAATCAAGTGCGAGCAACCTCAATATGCTCAATCTGCCCTTCCTTTGCTTCCTCATGATCCAAGTCTTTAGCCGCTTCCATATTTGCCCGTTCCACGTTCTCGCAGACATAACTCTGGAACTTTCGGGCTGGGACATTTTTATCGAACATTTCCTCGATCTCTTCAAGAGATCTCCCCCGGATTTCAGGGACGAAGAAATAGATAAAAACCATTCCGAGCACACTGGAGGCAAACCAGATAAATCCTTTTAATACTGTTAGCTTCTGTTCATCAAACCCGCTGTAATTACAAGCTTACCATAATTGCCACCCCAGTTGAGCTCCGCGGGGTTAATGAAGTAAGGCGCCGTGAATGCAGTCAACCACGCAAACACAAAGCCAATACCGGTAGACATTCCAGTTGTACAGGCTCGAAGGTTCTGCGCGGGAATTTCGCCCGAGACCATGTACACCAGACTGACGACGCCGAAGTTGAAACCGAAATGGTAGAATGTGTTGAAGAAAATAATGCCACTGGCGCGAGCAGACTGGCTCGCGGGAACTTGGAATAGGATTCCGAGAATTAGCATAGACGTACAGCACATGCCGACGCCGAGTAGTAGCATGGTCCTTCTTCCAAGTATGGCGATGAATGGGTATGAGATGAGTTGTCCGAAGTATCCTACCCACTGCCCTACTATACCCCACTTAAAGGGGTCTTCAACACCATTCTGTGACGATTAAGTCAGCGGGGATATTATCGTAGTGTCAAGATGAGTACTTACTGCTTTCATGAAATAGGTCGTAAATGCCATCACGAACATACCACCGACTGCCGGATTCATCAGGCCAGCTCCGATACTGATCATGGTACGACGGAGATGGCGCTTGTTAAACTGTTCAAAGAACGCTGCCTTTGAATCGCTGCTCAATTCAAGCTCAACATTGATCCTCATTTCCTCAAATTCCTTGAGAACTTCGAACCGATCGCAGGCGTCTGCACGGATCCAAGTGAGGGACTTTAGTGCCTCGTCGGATTTTCCATGCAATAGAAGCCAGCGCTAATGACATCTCTTGTTAGTTTGTCTCATACTTTGTCTCATAGTTTGGTGTAGGGCGGTATGAACTTACAGGTGATTCCGGAAGGAAGAATAGACCCACGAGCATGACAACAGGCAGGAAATAGAGAGTATAGAGTGGAATCTGATAAGAAAGTCGGTTCATCATTGTCGATGTCTCATTGATAATGACCTAGGAAATTTCAGAATCAGCAACGTGAAACGGATTAATCCTTGGATTATATACTCACCGCACCTATTCCACTGCCCAAAGTCACCCAACCAGACACCATAGCATAGGCAACACCTCGCAAATGTGCAGGGGACATCTCGGCAACATACATGAATGTGAAATTCATGATCAGTCCGTTGGCGAGACCAGTAACCAACCGGCCAAAGTAAAGCACGCCCAAGCTGGTTGTCACAACCTGAACAGTGACTCCTACGATCAAGACAACCATTCCGAGCATCACGCAGTGACGACGCCCAAGATAGCGGCTAAACACGCCGGCCAGTAATGATGAAATGAAGGAGCCGAGAAGCAAGAATGACGAAATGATTTGCTGAGGACCGGCCTATTGTATTATATTAGTCCTGATGGGAGAATGGAGGCACGGGCAAGAACATGCCGCGATGTTCCAGCCGCTGGGCACAGCGGGATCCCTATAGCCAAAAACTTGCAAAAAGCCAGTCATGGCTTGGAAGCCGTTGATTTCACCATGGTCGAAGCCATACTAGAAAATTGTCAATATTTTATTCCTATAATGCTTCAGGGGTGCCTTTTCTGTCTAACCTCGAGCATAGAAAAGCCAACAAACAAGGATACAAATAGGAACCTCTTGTGAGCTAGGATGGGGAATTTGCTCTTCGCATCTCCCCGTGAACCATCTGGGGATGTCGACCGCTCCATGGTCGAACTGGATAAAGAGAAAAGAGAAATTGTTCACAGGAGCAGTGACAGTTTTATGTCACATTCAGCGGGTCTCCGATGAAAGCAGGGGTGGGTTATATAGTGATATATTTTACAGCCAATAATATCTGCCTGGGTAGGAATTATTTGCGCACAGATCAATTTCCCCAGGTTTGACTTAATTACCCCAGACTGAAGACCCACGACTCCACAAAGGATCGGAGTTGTAAAAGCGAAGATTTTCATTTCTGCCAAGGACAAGCGAGGATTGTGGCTTGACCGGTGATATTAATCCGATTAAGGGAACTTCTTCGTTGCTATCATTTTGCGGGGGAAGTCGGCTCCATCACCTATCACCTTGACAACCAGCGGGACAAACCCCGGACATTACAGCTCTCAAATTGACCCGAGACCATAAAGGGAAAATAGCTATGGATATCGGCATTTCATCGGCATTCAGGACCCGCTGATGCGGGGAGCTGGAAATCTCCAAATAAAAAGATAAACTCGACCATTTCTGGTTTCTATCTTCAAATCACAATGGCTTCATACACCTTCAAACCAGTTACTGTTAGCCATAACCCCGCCGACAATGAGGCTGCCACGGTGATCCGGAAGCGCTGGTACGACAAGGCCGAGCGTGCGCAAGCAATTGAGTACCTGCCACCAGGCCTGACAACTCACACCTGGGCAATTGTCCTCAATAAGCTGAAGGATGTCCTGGGAACGGAAAAGGTGGTTGTTGGCAAGGAATTGCACATCGAATACATGGATCCATTTTCCATGAATGCCGATGAGCAGGAAAAGCGCGGCAGTGCTTGCGCGCTGCGACCTACAACTGTGGAAGAGATTCAGAAAATTGTGGCGATTGCAAATGAATACAAGATTCCTCTGTGGACGGTTTCACGGGGCAAGAATCTTGGTTATGGTGGTCCTCAAGCACGCGTGAAGGTGAGTTTGGGTTCTTCTACAGTTTCTTCCATCCAACTGACCTCCCGTTTTTCTGCAGGGCTCCATCATTGTCGATCTACAAAACATGAACAAGGTCCTTGAAGTCAACGAGAAGTTCTCCTACTATACTGTGGAGCCCGGTGTGAGCTTCTTCGAGCTCTTCCAGGAGATCCAGGCACAAAAGAAGCACATCTGGTGTTCAGCTCCCGCTTTGGGCTGGGGAAGTGTGGTTGGAAATGCGCTTGATCGGGTAAGTCTTGCAATCGGAGTGAAAGAAAAGATTTGTAGCTAACACTGCACAGGGCTGGGGATACACTACCCACGGCGATCACTCGAACCAAATTTGCGGTATTGAGGTAGTTCTTCCTGACGGCACATTGGTTCGAACAGGCATGGGCGCTCTGGACAGCTCCGTCTGCGGGCCACTATTCCGTGGTGGATATGGTCCAACCTACGACTCGATGTTCAGTCAGTCCAACTTCGGCATTGTCACCAAAATGTCAATCTGGGCATGCCCTGCTCCCGAGGGATTCATGCGAGTTGTGCTCTCAGTCCCCGAGGAACGTGATCTAGCACCAATGGTGGATATTCTCCGCGAGTTGCTCCTGCGGGAAAAGATTCAAAACCACCCTGTTATCGGTAACGTGATTCGCGAAATCAATAAACGTGGTCTGCGCAAGGACTTCTGGAATGAGGATACTTCGATTCCATACCACCGAATCAAGGAGATCCAACAGGATCTCGGTTTGGGATTCTGGGACGCCACCTTTGCCTTATACGGGCCTAAGGAAGTGATGGATTATAATCTCAAGCAGATCCAAGAGGCACTTAAGCCAATCAAGGGTCACACGTTGAAAGCAACTCCTCACTATCCCAAGCCTGGTCAGAAATATGTCAATGCCCTCGATATCCCTTACGACCTGCAAACCGGAAATCCCGGCCTGCGGCCTATCAAGTCGATTGAATACCGTGGACTTGACGGGTAAGAATGACCTCTAGCATTGACCCAATACGCAAAGGCCAATAAATCTAACAATAGTTACAGTGGACACATATCCTTCTCGCCCGTCCTACCCTCAGACGGAAAGGCAGCTCTCGACTTCTACTACACAGCACAGAAGCTCTGCCAAAAGCACGGCTATGATTTCGTTGCCGGTCTGCACATGCATTTACGCCACATGACACATATCAACATGATTCACTTCGACCGCAACTCGCAAAAGGACAAGGACACCGCCAATGCCCTGTTCGTCGATTTGGTTCATGCGGCACGGGAAGCAGGTTATGGAGAGTATCGTGCACACATTGAACATATGGATTTGGTTGCCGACCAATACGATTTTGGTGGTGGTGCTTTGATGCGCTTGAATGAGCGAATCAAGGATACTTTAGATCCTAATGGTATTCTTAGCCCCGGGAAACAGGGTATCTGGCCCAAGCATTACCGGAATAAGGGGAAGTCGCAGTTGTAAATATTTTTGATACCTCTGGTTGCAATTGGTGTCTGGGATAGTCTTAAGGTCACTCCCATTTTCTCTTTTTCCTGTCTTCTTGTTCCTTGAGTGATTACCTCAAACCAACGCACATCTTTCTACCTATCTTCCATCCAAATTCACACGATAATACAAATCAAAATGAGGTCAACTCATGATAGGACCAGGGCTGTAGAGTTTTTACCGGTACAAACACGGAGCGACATAGACGCAGCGTTTATACAGCCCCCTAGAAGCCAATTCCACCAAATGCTTGACTGCCTCTCATGTCCGTATCCCTGAAAGATCTTGCCCACGCCACTCCTGAATGGCTCCGAATTAACTGCGGTGTACTCCATATGCATCGTTTCATTTTGGCTGCGGCCACATCCAGGGGCATGGGTAGTATAGCCACGCCTTGGCAATGGGAAGCAAAGCACCTAAGATTGCGCCGAATGAAAAGCACGATTTCTACAGCCTCTATGGCTTAGAACAAAAAAAAGGGCCACTGGCTAGTTGACAAGTCAAAGAGTAGAAGGAGAGAGGAAGAGGAGCAGAGGGAAAAAAAAAGGGAAGACTCTACGGCTGTTCCTTGGAATGTATATAATGACATAGTCTCTTCATAGTTCTACACAATATCATGTGCTTTTCTTCGTGATCTCATCTAGTCTGTGTATTTATAGGGGTGATCTTTGTTGATTCTTGAAATATGCCTGATTTGATTGTACACTATGAATCACTAGCATATACTAGTAATAGTTATGTAGTATGTGAAGTATAGTTGGCCAAGCGTCCAAGGTCTGCTCCATGTGTCCAAATTAGGCTTAGTTTCATAAATGCGCCTGAATTGCCTTTACGACCAGTAGCCTAAGGACTCTGCTAATCTTTTGAACTCGTATACCCAGCTACAAGCAGCTCATCGCTAGGGCCGTAAAATCCGAAGCCCCCGCAGATCGGCCACTTCCCCGCAATTCGCCATTTGCCCTTCCGCCATCGGGTGCTTGGAGCCGATGCTCACGCGCCACCATCTTTCCGGGGAAATACTAGCTGAACTTGACTAGATAGAAACTATGTGTTGTTACCGGAGGCTTTCAACGTCCGAGGCAAACGGAACCATGCATGAATGATGCTAGTGTGGACACATCCATGCTCATCATCCTACGTCCATTATATATCAATGCGACACCTACGAGTTTGAATACTGAAACAGCCTTCACGATTGCCAGGAAGGTCCCACAATGCAGAGTACGCGGTCGAGCGACCCAGCTGGGTTCTTCGGAAATCTAGTCATCCCAGCCTTGCCCACTAAACTGGCAGATTGGGATTCGAATACAAATCTCTTGGGTATCGCCCTCATCGCCGGTATCACATCACACGTGGTGTATTTCCTTCATGGAGAGCATCACAGAGGCTGCTATCAGCTTGTCAAAACATATTTTGCTCTTGAAATTATTATCACTGCTCTTCTGATCCGAAAGAATGGCCATGATCTCACAACATCTGCAATCCAGGCAGCCATCGTGACCGCCGGATACCTGCTAGGTCTCTTTGGTGCTATGGGTCTCTATCGAGGATTTTTCCATCCCCTTCGTCGGATTCCAGGGCCTTTCCTGGCTCGATTCTCCAATTTATACCACTCATCTTTGCTGGGGAATTCAGATAACTACCGCGTCCTCTACAATATGCATAAAGAACATGGCCCGGTTGTACGCACTGGTAAGCTCATACTGATAACTCTCCTTGGTACTCAACTAATAGTCATTCAGGACCTTCCAATTTGAGCTTAAACGCCCCAGAGGCAGTTCAGCTTTTATACGGACCAGACTCGCAGTGCAGCAAGACTGCATGGTATGAAGTTTCACGACCACTACAGAATCTGCATACCGTACGCGACAAAAAGGTGCATGAAACCCGCCGAAAAGTCTGGGCTCGTGCATTCTCACCCAAATCTCTGGTCGAATACGACTCACGTATCGCCGAGTACTCAGAGCTGCTATGTCGCCAACTTTCAAATCTCAATGGGAAGCCGTTCGACGCGACGCGTTGGTTCAAGTACTATGCGTGGGACGTGATGGGCGAGCTCGGCTTCGGCAAGGGATTTGAGATGCTGGAAAATGCAAAGAACCGCCACATACCAGATTTACTCGAGGAGGGGATGGCCCACATCGGACAACTACAAGTCGTGCCGTGGCTGATTATTCTACTACACAAACTCCCCTTTGCTGCTAAAGGTCCCAAGCAGTTTGCAATGTTCTTCACCGAGAAGGCGATGAGTCGTGTCAAGGAGCCTCCTGCCAAGCCCGACGTACTTAGATACCTGGTCGACCACTACAACAACAGTCCTAAGGCGGATTCTGACTTCCAGTGGCTCCGTGGTGATACGAGGCTCTTTGTCGTCGGCGGAAGTGACACCACTGCATCCACTTTGACGCACATCATGTACTACCTTGCTAAGTACCCCGAGCAACTCGCGAAACTTCGCGCCGAGGTCGAGCCACTTCTTGTAGGCCGGACTACTCTAGATCCTAAGGATGTCGGCGAGGCTAAGCATTTGAATGGTATCATTCACGAAGTCCTCCGGTTACATCCTCCTATCCCGTCTGGCTTCCCGAGACTCACCCCCGAAGAGGGTATTGTGGTCGACGGTACCTATATCCCCGGAGGAACCACCGTGACGGTACCACTCTGGGTGATGGGACGTTGTAAGTGATGTTCTGACTTAGGTTTTACGGTTTGGGTACTGATATCTATTTTAGCTGAGGGGGTCTACGAGTCACCGCTCGAGTTCATCCCCGAGCGCTGGTATTCTCGTCCAGAGATGATTAAACATAAGAATACATTTGCGGCCTTTGGTCTAGGTATGTTTGCCTACACCCCTTTCCCAATGTTGACATATTTAATTCTTTTGAAAATAGGTCCTTATGGATGCATCGGTCGGGCATTAGCACTTATGGAAATGCGGAATGTAATCTGCCATATTCTATCTCGCTTCGAGAGTATTGAAATGGCTCCGGGTGAGGATGGCTCTGCGCTGATGAACCTGACCAAGGATCACTTCACGGCAGGTATCAGTGAATTCCAAATGGTCTTCAAAGCTAAATAGTCTTATGTTGTTCTTATTGCTTGTATTTTCTATGTGGCAATTTTGAGTTCAGCGTATAATGATACCGACAATATGATAGTCCACTATTCAATGCTTCTTCTGAGATTAACACCCTGAAAGTCAGGCATGAAATACCTATTGAAAACCCATTTTCCAAATCCCGCACCCTTATTCTATCTCTAATTTATACCATCGACAGCTTACTGGAGTCATACCAGAGCATCGTAGCTAGCGCTCACGCTGTGAACCCAAGGAACTACAACCATGCATGTAAATGACCATACCCGCATCCACCCGGAAACACTGATTAAATCAAAATGGTGACTTGGCCTACATCTTCGCTGGGCCGGTGTTATCATACAGTCATCACCATTACTACTACTAACACTGGATTCGATCGTCCCTCCCATATATGACACATATGACCATAGGGTGTGGAAAACAGGACGTCCTGTTCTTCTTACGCTTAGGGTGATAGGGGCTAACTCACTCTAAACCTATATCTGTCTAAAGAAAGTAATATATATTAGGTTCTGATGAAAAGACACGAGACGACACGGCAAGAAACGATAGGACTAGGAAGGGAAAGAACAACAAGTAACATGTCATTTGATTCATCTTCATTCCCATAGGCTAATTTTTGCGGTTGATGGCGTGGCAGGAGGCTGGACCTGATACTCTTCTTCTAGCTGACTTTGGCGAAGCATATATACTTATTGTATTTTGGCAGGTCCTCCATAACTTGTCTCGGTGGCTTTTGCGCTGTGAAGGAGGTGGAATTTTGTAGGTAAATTGCAGCGCGATTTCAATCCTTATACGAGATCCCATAGAAAGCGACAGATTCTAGAGGATAGGAGTAGAATATCAGAGGTTGGGTGTTTCCGTTCTTTTCAAGCCAGTGACAAAAGATGGTCATTGCTTGTTGGGTCATGGTGGCCGAACAGGCTTTGATGGCTGAACAGGCTTTGATGGTTGAACAGGCTTTGATAGTTGAACAGGCTTGATGGTTGAACAGGCTTTGATGGTTCGGTCGGATGATATGTGCGTAGCGTCGAGAACCGAAAGTTGTCTCAGGCTGAACAGCATGTTTGCTGTACTATGGCCATTGTGAATTTCTATATACATGCCTCCCCTGCATCAATGGGCAATAAAGCGCCAACCTGTCTGGGCGCGCAGGGCCTCAATGTTGGCCTTCTTCTGTCCCACATGATTATTGAATTCGGAGGCCTTCCTTTCTCTTCTTAAAGCTGGCTCGCTCTCTGGGCTGGGAGTGCCATAAGAGTATATATCATCTCCCATGGCTTCTTCCTGGGTCCGACGGCCTTCTGCCATGGGAATTCCTTGACCCGCTTGGCCAAAAGTTCGGCCTGTAGGCTATTATCGCCTACTACTGGCTCTTCAAGGGGTGAAAGCTGAAGCGGTGAGCTTTTTGGTGAAGATGACGAAAGGGTTAGTGTCTGCTCAATTGGCTGCGGAACCACCATTGCCTTTTCGATATTAGGCTCATTTGTCTCATTCACTTCGACTAGGCGTAGTTTCTAGGATATAGAAGGGGTTCTGAAGTGAAATTCAATGATAGTGGTAGTATGCTCACTTTGTATTGGGGTTATATATAAACTTCACCACGGCGTTAGATATTGAGAATGCACAAACCAAGCCTCTTAAAACCGACAAGTCTAAACGGAATAACATCTCGAAAGACCGATAAAAGACCACTGAAAGACTACCGAACAAACGTCACAAGACCGCTTATGCGGCCGACTGTTCTTGTTTCGTTGGTTTTGAATAATTGTACTTGAGTATCGGTCTTGGTATTAGGCGATTCTAGATTCGGATAGTTCTTCGATAATAGGTACCGTACATGGTGAGAGTATGTTGAGAAGAAGAGAAGTAGTTGAAGCTGAAGCTTGGAGTATGCGAAATGGCAAGTGTAGGAAGTTGACCTTTCTCACTTACTATATTAAACTTGTCAAAATCAACTTTCTCTTCATAGTATCATTCTCTCCAGTAGTATATTAATCACATACGACCATAGGGTGTGGAAATCAGGACGTCTAGTCCGCTCAGTTGTACTTGAGCCTAGTATTCTTGCAAGCTGTAATTTGTACTTTCCTCGCATTCCCAAAAAGAGTGATCCTGAAGGATTACAGAGCCTGCACCTGCTGGCCGACTCGCATGTGAGGGGGGCCGGGGCGGGCAATGGTTGGTTCCCTTAGTAGTCCGTGGGAGAGAAGTCGGAGTAGATACCTGCTCATAGCCAGGGCCAGAATCATAACTATTAGGATTGTCAGCATTTGCCCTTAATAAGGAAGTCAGAGCTGGGTGGGGGATCTTACTATCGCCAAGTCATTTTGATCGTCGGGGTGACTGAATGGGAGATGATAAAGGATGGAGATGGGTGAAGGTTGATGAGCGAGGATGAAGTTTGGTAAACCTACGGTAGATGAGGAAGTGGGGTAGGCCGTAAGAAGGAGAGATAGAAGGGAATAAATAAGTGAAACCAAGGTACGAGCTTTTATAAGAATAGTCAGCCGCATAAGCAGTCTTGTGATATCTTTTCAGTGGTCTTTTCAGTGGTCTTTTCAGTGGTCTTTTCAGTGGTCTTTTCAGTGGTCTTTTCAGTGGTCTTTTCAGTGGTCTTTTCAGTGGTCTTTTCAGTGGTCTTTTCAGTGGTCTTTTCAGTGGTCTTTTC